GTGTTTTACCTTCATTTATGGCTATCACACTGTCAGGAGGGCGAGCAGCATATGAGACTGAGAGTGAGGAAGACTGTCCAAAGAGCCCGCTATGCAGGGACTCCTGGGGCTATTAATTATTTATCTACTTTTCCAAGTTAATAAATAGGCCTGTCTTTTGCCCTTTATTCCCCAGATGGATTTAACCAAATGAGAGAGGGGAGAGGGTGTGCTCAGAGTTAGCCATCTGAGAGCGCAGGAGGTGCAGATTATGGAAAGGAGATTTAAAAAATACATATTCATTTAATGCCTGTTAAATATGCACATCGCTGCTTTATCTGGTATGTTTTCTGTTACGAATGAATTCTCATGACTATTTTGATGGTTTTAGAGTGTACTTTAAAAAATCTGAGTGTTTTAAAGATGTAACATTAATACCAAAAACACATACACACACACACAAAAACAGAAAGCAAAATTCAAATAACATGCTGTCACCAAAGTAAATAAATAAATAATGCTTATACATAGTGAGAAAATGCAAACACTGAAGAAATAAGAACCTCCTTCCTCACCACTTGAGTCCTTCCAGCCAAAGGTAAACCACTCTTTATGCTTTTTATCTTCCCAGAAAAAAATGTTTGCAGCCCTGGCTGGCTTGGCTCAGTGGACGGAGCGTAGTCTGCGGATTGGGGAGTCCCAGGTTCGATTCTGGCCAAGGGCACACGCCTCTGTTGTGGGCTTGATCCCCGGTGGGGGAGGCATCCAATCAATGATTCTCTCATCACTGATGTTTCTCTCTCTCTCATTCTCCCTTCTTCTCTGAAATCAATAAAGAAATATGTATACGTTTTAAAATAATGTTTGCATATATATTCCTTTATTTACCAAAACGAATCACAAGCACCCGTTCAGATACATACTTTTTAACTTAATAACACGCCTTGATACTATTTCCACATCAGTGCACGTCATTACCACATTCTGTCTGCTCTCACACACATGTGGCAGGGAGGAGCATCTCTGCACACACGGCTTAGTGTTCACATGTGTTTTGGGTTTGTTTTTGTAGTGTGACCTACTAGGAAAGTCAGGGCAGTAACTACAAACTACTCCAAGGCGGTCCATCCCAGCTGTGCGGTGAGAGAACAATCCCGTCTTCTGGGTTTATTTCTGTTCCTTTGGGAAACTTCCTGAGACAACGGTGGGTCACAGAGGCAGCCTGAAGGGGCCACGGAGAAAAGGACCGGGTTCAGCTGAGAGGAGGTGGATCTTCAATGCCTGTTCGCTTCCATGCCGCAGCGCAGCAATTCTGTCTTTGCACTTAGATCCACCTGGCGGGCTCCCTGCCCCACGGGCCAGGAGTGGACCGAACGCTCCTGGCATGAATGGAATGCTTGTAGAAGGAGAGGCATAAGCAAGCACTGGGGCGCTGTGCATTGAGCCAGCAGCAGGTAAGACGGCCAGATGACTGTGACCTTCACTCTAGCGCGCGCTATTGGGGAGACCAAGATTCAGGATGTTTGCCTGGAGCCGTGGTTGGCAAACGGCAGCTCCAGAGCCATATATGGCCCTTTGGCCCCTTGAGTGTGGCTCTTCCACAAAATATCACGGCTTGGGCAAGAAGTGGCGTTAGAAGAAGTTTAAGTTTAAAAATGTGGCTCTCCAAAGAAATGTCAATCGTTGTGCTGGTGATATTTGGTTCTGTGGACTCATGAGTTTGCTGACCACTGGCGTAGGTGAACCATACACAGACCTGGCTTCAAAGAATGTATGCACTAGTTGGGAGTCTCATGGGTGCATTGTTCACAGACACATTATAGTTGGAAATCCTGAGAGGCCAATCAGGTCAACTATCTGCTCTGTAACGAACTGCACATCTCTGACAGAAGGGGGATATACCTACAAGGATTTGGGCACCTCTGGGACAAGAAGTCACCTCCTGTTTGGAACCTAGCACAGGACTGCTCTCATTGAGACCTGTTCAACCAGTACGGACCTGAAGCTACAGGAATCAAACACCTCCCTATGCATTCCCTGTCTTTTTCCTGAAAGACAACTTCAACCTTTTTTCCTGAACCCTTCTCAGTCTTTTCCAGAAGGGCAGAGAGGGGGAGGTCAATCAGGGGGATGGAGGCTCCTTTTTTTAATTTATTTTTATTTATTTAAATATATTTAATTGATTTTTTATTTTATTTTTTTACAAAGAGGAAGGAAGAGGGATAGAGAGCCAGAAACATTGCTGAGAGAGAAACAATGACCAGCTGCCTCCTGCACACCCCAACCACGGTACATGCCCTTGACCGGAATCGAACCCGGGACCCTTCAGTCCACAGGCCGACGCTCTATCCACTGAGCAACACCGGTTCTGGCGAAAGGCTCCTCTTTGATGACCTGGAAGAAGGCGTCTTAGCAAGTTAAGAAACGACACAACAAGCAGCCTTCACCCGTGGAGGCCTGCGGGGGGACACTCACCATGAGGGCTGGGAGGCTGGAGGTCAGCACAGGCTCCCCAGAGGCCGTCCCAAGTGAGCTCCGTGTGGCAAGACGGACTGCAACCAGAAAGGTGGGGAGAAAGAGGGAGGGTGTGATCAGAGAGCACGCGGATGCCATGAACTCAGAATCCTAATAAGGTCCGTCTTGGTCACGTGGAAAAACAGAAAAGCTGGGCCGTCCATATTGCAATGTCACCCCACGTTATCCTCTTGCTTTCCTCGGTGCCGGGCGGGCCTTATCAGGAGCCACCACACGAGTGTTTCCTTGGTGAAAGCTGTAGACCTTCTATCTCCCATGCTGCCCCGGGCCCAATAAATCATTACACACCATTTTCTTCCCCCTTTGGCCAAAATTAAATTTTGTTCAGACCATAACAAGGAAATGAATAGTCGAGAGGTGGTTTATGAAGTTGATGGACAATCTGCAGAGGGACCTTGGTAGGCGTGAACCATCTGGTAATTCAGGCTCTGCGGGACCCAGTGACAGTGCCCTCTGAACCTTAGCAAGGACTCAGGTCTGTCCCAGGGGAACAGACACTTCCAGGGCAAGACACACACACACACACACACACACACACACACACACACACACGGACCCTGGAAGCAGCGTTAAGAGGTGAGGACCACAGAGCGAAGTCTCCGTCCCATCCCATCCCTCCCTGGGCTTCCTCTGCCTCCTTCAGGCCTGGGAACCCAGGCAGCTCAGATGCCTGACTAATTCCTCCTCCACATCATCTCTTGAACATTTATTTCTCCAAATCTCGAAAGGGCTGTCTTCCCAGGGCCTCCAGGTTACTCTGAGGTCTTAACGGATGGGAAGACTCAGGGATAGAACAGGTGTTCGTGGAGTCCATAGTGTTTTCAACCAGGGAAGCTACTTCCGGGAAAGGTTCTCCTCCCATTTCTGATTAAAATGTCCATTATCAGGTGTCTAAGGCCATCCACCACATCCACGTTAAAGGACAGTCTGGGGTCACGCAGGGCATTCCCTGGTGGTGGTCCAGATTCAGCCCAGGGTCACCCCTTCTCCCCTAAAAACCCCAAGCCGGGGTCCCCGAGGGGAGTCTGAGTTGGGACCATGGGGGCCAATGGGGGCTATTGCTGCCTACGCTGGGCGGGGGGCGGGGAGGAGGGGGTTCGGGGCGAGTGCTGAGAAAGAGGGGGACCCCCCTCCGGACCCGGGGACCCCGGCCCCGCGCAGCCCTCCCCGCCCGCACCCCGCGGCCTGAGGGACGCCCGGTCCCTGTCAGGTGTTGCTCCCTCCCCGGCTGCTACTTCCGCTTCCGGGTGGAGCCCAGCGTCTTAGCTGCTCATGTCCACCCTCCCGGGAAGGCCGCGGGCCCGGGCGCGCGCGGGGCGGCCGGCGTGGGAAGCCGAGGAGGAGCCGGGGGGTCCCCGGGGCGGGGGTCCCGGTCACCGTGACGCGCGCGGACGGGGCCCGCCCTCACCCGGAGGCGCTCGGACGCGGCCGCGACCCCTCGCCCCCGGCGCGGCCCCCTCGGCCGCGAGCGCGCGCCCCGGGCCGCACGGGGTCCACACGCCCCCGCGCGCGCGGGCCCGGCCCCGGGGCGCCTCGGGCCTGAGGGGCGAGACCACTTCCTTCCGCCCCGAGCCAGCCGGGCCGGGCCGGGGTCGGGGGTCGAGGGTCGGGGTCAGGGTCAGGGCTGGGGTCGCGCCCCCGCCGCCCTCGGGGCCCGCCCCGCCCCTCACGGCCCCGCCGCCCGGCGCACGTGCCGGGTGACAGGCCCCCTATAGGTTCCATACCTGCCGCCGGAAGTGAGTGAGGAGGGCAGTATAGGCATTTCCTGTGACGCCAGCGCCTGGACTCCATTAGGCAGCAGCTGGGGGAAGAATCAACACACCGGGGAGCGGAGCGCCGCGGAGCCGAGCACAGAGGCGGCAGCTGCCTCGCTGCCGCCCGCCCGCCCGCCGCCCGCCGCCCCGCCGCGACCCCCGGGCCCAGCCCCGCGGCGACCCCCGCCGCCGCCGCCGCCCCGCCGCGACCCCCGGACCGCGCACCCCGACGAGCTGCCTCCGGGAGGGGGGGGGGAAAGGGCCCGGATCCTCCTTCTCCCCCTCCTCCTCCTCCTCCTCCTCCTCGCCCCTCGCCCCTCCTCCCCGCTCCCTTGACCCCCGCCCGGCCCCGCACCCCGACCCCCGCCCGCCCCCGCCTCCCTCCCCGCCCCCCGCCCCCGCCTCGCTCCCCTCCGGCTTCCCACCACGGCCTCTCTCGGCGAGGAAACTCTGGCCTCGGCTTCCTCCTCCTCCGACTCGGACACCGGCGGAGCCTCCCCGCCCCCGCGGAAGAAACCCCGAGCCTCGGCGGCGGCGGAGGGGGCAGGAGAGCCCGGGGCCTCGGCGAGCCGAGCAGGCCTCTCCCCGCCGTCCTCGTCCTCCTCGTCGTCGTCCTCCTCCTCCTCCTCCTCCTCCTCGGTGGTGGTAGTGGTGGGACTCCCCCCGGCCGCCCCTCCCGCCGCCGCCCCGCACCGGAGTAGCAGCGGCCACAGCCTGGTCGGCGGCGGCATCATGCAGGCCAACGGGGCAGGAGGAGGAGGAGGCGGCGGCGGCGGCGGCGGCGGGGGCCCGGGACCGCAGACCCAGGAGCTCGCCTGCCTGGCGGCCCAGAACGGGGAGTCGTCGTCGTCGTCCCCGTCGCCGTCGCCGTCGTCGTCGTCCGCGGGGGACCTGGCCCACGCCAACGGGCTGCTGCCCGCCGCCCCGGCCGCCGCCGCCGCCGCCAACAATAGCCCCAGCCTGAGCGTCAATAACGGGGTCCCCGGCGGGGCCGCCGCCGCCGCCGCCGCCGCCGCCGCGGCCCTGGCCACCCCGGACCTGGGCAGCAGCCTCAAGAAGAAGAAGCGGCTGTCCCAGTCGGACGAGGACGTCATCAGGCTCATAGGACAGCACCTGAATGGCTTAGGGCTCAAGTAAGTCGTCTCTGCAAGGCCGGCCGGTGCGGACGGACAGGGGGACAGAGGGGACAGGGTGGGGGAGCTGCAGGGGAGCCCCAGAGGGAGGACCACTGCCTGCCGGGCACGCGGGGCCGGGGACCCTGGAGGGAGTGGGAGCTGCCCGAAGGGGAAAGGGGAGGGGGACATGCATCGGATGGGCCGGGCCCGGTGGGGGGATTGGGGAAGGGGGTCCTAGAAACCGAGAGATTACACACACACCCCCATACACACACACACTCACAGACACACACACACACTCCCCGCACACCTGGGGAGCCCGATTGTCAGCAAGGGCCCGCGGAGGGTGCCTGTGCGGGTGTGTGCGGTGGGGGAAGGGTGGGGGGGGGATCTGGTGGAAAGAATGAACCTCGGAGAAGGATTTGTTTTTCGTCTATCTCAGAGGCATCTTTGTGGGACGCCTCCCCCCACCCCACCCCACCCCACCCCCAGCCGTGACAGACAAGCCAGGCCAGCTAGCCAATCGGGAGGGACGATCGCCTACAAGTGTTTATGGGAACCGAGGGGCTGGGACCTGCGGGGAGGAGGGCGTCCCGAAGGCAGATGCCAGGCGGATGTCACGGAGGGAGAGGCCCTGTCCCAGAGGCCTGCCACCGGCTCGGCCGGAACCCCAATTTAACGCCGAGGGGTGATTGCCTCTGGAAGAGGGACGTCTGACCTGGTGAATCATTTATTTCCCGGCGCGATGGAGGTGGCCTCCTGCACCAGAAGTGGGGTGAAGGGAGACAGCGACCTTGGCCCCAAACCACCGTTTTGTGTACACACAAAGAGAAAGGAAGGGGTGGGAGATGGGGGTGCTGAGGAGCCCCGGGCAGAGGCAGACTAAGGGGGAAAACATGCCACTGCATTTCCGAGCTCCAGTGTCGATTAAAACAAGCTCCGATGCTAGCCCGTGGTGTGGTTTGGGGGTCACAGGTCCTTTCTGGGGGGTGGGGGAGCACTTTTTTAGGGTGACACAAGGATTTTGATTCTCGGGCAGATGGTTGGTTGCACTGTTCAGCTGAAAAATAAATGGGGCTGAACAAGAAAACACTGACACGTAAACAAACATGTAAGACTGATAAAGGAAGACTCTTAGTGTCAACATATCTAACCCGCTTCTGATGAGCCTTTTATGCTTTCAAAGAGAAATATAGGAAGATTTCACTTTTTTTTTTTGCCAGAAGGAAAAGGAATTAGTATGAAAAGAGGTTTTGTAAATGCTAACGTCTTACTGAGACCAGCAGCAAGCTGACAGCAGCAGGAGGAAATAACTCGTGACTGTTTGGAACCTACACCATAGTAAATTTGCTATTTTTAGTCTAGAGAGAAAGGGGATGATTTTTGATGCTGGATTTATTTCCATTTTAAAGACTGACCTACTAGCATTTCTATGCAAACGTGGTGTCTGGATGTAGGACTCTCCCCTAATGGCAGGTCCTGGCTATGGCCTTGTATGGAGCGGACATGTTTTATCTTATGAAATGGACCAGGGTTAGTGGTAGATCCTGGTGTGTATGTTTTCCACTTCTTTAACCAATTGGTTACTGCATGTTTTTAGGGATTTATACTTCAGTTAAGCTTCTGATGCATTAAATGGCAGAAGTGGGAAGAACTTGCTTTGATTCTAGTTTCCGGAAGGTTTTTAACTTAACTAGATGCAAATGAAGGTGGCAGTTCACAAATCAGGTTGGTTTAGCCAAGCACATGAAAGCTCTGTATTTCTTTTTTCTTCCTGAGATCAGTTTAAGAACTTTTGCAACTGTTTTCGTAGACGTTAGCTTGTTTGGAAGAGTAAACCTGAACGTGGTCAGGTCGTTTTTACACTCTATCTCTCCTGCAGCCAGACTGTTGATCTCCTCATGCAAGAGTCAGGATGTCGTTTAGAACATCCTTCTGCCACCAAATTCCGAAATCATGTCATGGAAGGAGACTGGGATAAGGTAAAGTAGGGCCTGCAGAGCTGTGTGACTGCTGCTAACATTGTGTATCTGACGTGCATGCGGTGACATTTCTGTTTTTCTCTTATGCCACTTTTTGCAGGCAGAAAATGACCTGAATGAACTAAAGCCTTTAGTGCATTCTCCTCATGCTATTGTGGTAAGAGGCGCACTTGAAATCTCTCAAACGTTGTTGGGAATAATTGTGGTAAATACACTTTTGTTCTTAGTTTCACATTTATGCTTATGTTAATAGGTTATTGCTAACTCTAGGCTTCTGCCTCTTATAAAAGATAAGGCCTAAAAGGAATTAAATTTCATATAACTAAACTTGTAACTAAGATGAGTGTTTATGATGTGCTGAAGTTTGAGCTCTATATTTTTAAAATCATGTTTCATAAGTGTGTCTTTTGAATCTAACTTACAAATGAAGCTCAACACAAAATTATATTGAAAGATCATGCTTTTAGTGCTGTTTCATAGGAGTTCTATACTTCTAGAACCAAGGATAAATTATACTTTTGTATTATTTAAAATACTGAATGTGCTGGTAAAGAATGTACTTGGGTTATGTATGTCTAAAGGCCTTAAGTAGCTGACACTAATTTTTTTCCATCTTTGGCAATTATAATTATAGTCCATTCAAACCAACTCGATGGTGTGCTCACCATTTTCCATTCTTGCATTCCAGTTGTGTGAATTGACAGTGTCAAAGTTTGTCTAACATGTATGACTCTGGTGGAGGGTTTGTATGTGTATCTGACCATTGGGTTCTGCTTACTGGCCTTATTTCCCCAACAAGATCAATTTAGTAGTTTACTTGTTAGCCTCTTTCATAAATCTTAATGAATCCTTTATACTGGTAGGCTTTAATTCTTCAGTAGACATTGCTGAGAGAGAGGAGGGAATACAATTTTTTCTAAGTGCTTGTGATTGGAAACCATGAAGAATCAGCTGCTTGGCCTCTTCCTGCTGGCTTTCTTACTTCTAGCTGATTGATTTGTTGTCAGAAGCAGTTTCCGGTCTGGTGGGGGAGGGACAAGGGTGAATAGGAAGTGAAGTAAGGAAACCAGCTGTTTGTTAAATATTAGTAAATGAGTGTTACTTTGGTTGTTTTTTTTTTTAGTTGGGTCAAACATCGATCTTTCTGCCTTTTTCTATAAACCTAGCAGAGTCTCCTGGTTTTCTTTTTTGGGTTTTTAAAACAAATCTTAATTATAAAAGTTTTCTAATTCTTAATATAATTTTATACAATTATATAATCCTAGAGAAAGGCCTTCAGATGAATTAAAGGTGCAAACAAATATGAACAAATACTGGTTCATTTAAATTGTCTTCATATTATCTTTTTTCTCTTATTAAGTATTTAAAATACTAAAATTTTAACTTGCTATTATTGAATCAGATGGTTGATAACTAATTAACTCATGGAATAATCAATACCATGGTCAGTTTTTAAAATGAAAACACAGAAGTTAAAATAAATAAACATCTATATTTGAAAGGATTACAAATTTTCCAATGACTAAATTTTCCCCAATTAGTGTGTTTGGAGTTTTAAAAAGAAAAACAGCTAAGCATATTTTAACTGGCCAGTTTTTCATAAATTGTTAGCTCTGATGGAATGGAAGGTGACCCTAAAATAAATTGAAGGCATCTCGAGCCAAAATAAGAATTGGGGTTCTTTTCCCATCAGACGAGCTAGCACTGCTTCTATGGTGACAGTCATGAACTTGCCCATGGTCTGTTTTAAAATAAGGATGTGATTTCTTGGAAGACTGTTTTCCTTTTTTAAGCTTCACCCAAATTATATCTGTAATTTAGTAGTAAAAATTTGAATAGGCTCACTTCCTCTTTTCCTTACGTTTTTATAGTAATTTGAGATTGCTGTATTGGATTTAGATGATTACTGTATCTCATTAGAAACCTTCATTAGAACAACATGTTAACTGACTAAAGGTAGCTGTAGATAATAAGGAGGAATCCTTTCTTTTTGCAGCCTGTTCAGTCTGTAGAACATTCTAGGATCTAATAAAAGATGAAGATTAAATCTGGCTGAGCCTCACGCCATCAAACTGTTTAGGTATTTATACAAAGAAAGGGGTTCCAGTTTTATCTTACTTTAAGCATTGATGAATCAATTGCTTTTAAAAATGCAGTTCAGCATTTTTTTTTCACCTTTCTACGTATGTTTAGTTTGACTCCTCTCCCCTCCTCCAGAAGATAATCTAATGTAAGCATGAGTTTGTAGTAATGTCTTGGAAGACAACTATTTGGTGGGGTTTTGTTGTTTTTTAACATAACTAATTTAACTGTATAGCCAGACACACTTGATGACTTAGTCTAGAATAAAATTGTATTTTACTTTTTTAACCTGAATGTTTTTATTGACCTAATTGCACCTCCCTTTCCCTACCCCCATATTTTTAAATTGTTTTCAGTCAATTAATACTAGAAATAGCAGAATTTGCTCTGGATTTTCTAGAAGCTGAGCTCATGAATCAACATATTTTTAGTTTGGGTTCAAATATGCTTAGCCATGTCTGAGGAATTGGGTGGATACTTGAGTCAATAACATAAAAAACAAACAAACAAACAAAAACAACTATATGTCTAAAAATATGTTTGATTCTTTATTTTTCAATATAATAGAAATATGCTTAACAAAACAGTTCAGATATTAATGTGCAAAAATGAAGTAGATTATTTTAAAGTCAAATAGGGAGGAGTTTTGAGAGCCAAGGTTTAAATATAATTCATTTCCCCTTTCCTCTGAGTCATTTAATTGATATAACTTGGTTAAAACCTTGTTCCAGAGTTAGTCAGAACCACTACTAAGTTGGCTAAGAGGCTGTTCTTGATAAACAGGCTTCCTGTGTATCGTAACTTTTGAGTTCTTTTTTTTCTCCCTCACATTGAGTTCAATGTCATTATATGGGAAGAAAGGATAAACCAATACAGATATTGGGTAGACAACAGCCAGATTTACCATGTGAAACTATCTTTTAAGCTGTCCTGTTTAGTTATCAATTTCAAGTTTATGTTAGATAGCAAAGTAAGAAACTGCTGGACCCAAAGACACCAGAAATAATCTAAAAAATTAGGAGTTGGAGAAACAGAGAGGAGAGTGCGCTTTCTCTTCTTTTGTTTCTTTCTTCATTTTACAAAACCAGGAGCAAAGCCCTGACCCCACGTTTCAGCAGACTCAGTAAATAATTTAACATCATTTTTGAAAGGTATTTATTTTCTTGAAAAGCTAGATTTGCATTTTTGTGCCTTAAATTTTGGGAAGTGAAATGCAGTTTTACTCGCCATCCTTATCATGTGCATCAGTGTTTTCTCTCTCAACCACGTCTCTGTCTGTGCTGAGTCAGCAGCATGTTCTCTGCCATGTGCACCACCAAGATTTGATACCAGTTTCAGGATATTCTTTGTTTTAATCTGGATAAAGTGACTCAGAGAACCGCTCTTGCACTGCTTTTATAGCATTCCCTGTATACGGAAAATCGTGTTTATGTTGGCTTCTCTTGCCTTCCTCTTCTCTCCTCCTCTGCCTCTGCCCCATAGAAAGAGAATAACATGTTCTAGCAGGATCTTGGTGGGAAAATAAGGGGAAAATAGCACTTGGGACACTGTCCCTGCACACATTGGAATGGGAGAGGGGGTGTGCATAGGACCTCATGATTGATACCCAATAAATAAATTAATTAAAAATTTGCCTTGAATTAAAAAAAGTTTTCCCCAAATTCCCAATTGTTAAGAAAACTTAATGAAGAAATGAAATGCAAATGCTGACACAGCTTCATGTGGCATTTAAATTTAAAAATTCTATAACAGAATATTCTCAAATTTGAATCGAAAACACTATGTGATACAAAATTTTTATTAGTATACTGATAAATGAAAATATATGAACTCTTCACTTCATAAAGAGTTGAAATTTTTTTAAAAGGATAAAATGGTGAGAATATCCAGAATTAACTTCAAATGTATTTTGACTTTTTCGATTGCTTTGTTTGATTTAGTCTTGTTTTTGTTTTTTGTCACCTGATGGACTTCACAGTATTTTTTAATTGGGTATATAAAAGTGAACTTACAGTTGCATGCACAGCAACACTTTTTAGAGCATCTTAGAAACTAAACTGTTTCTGAAACGCTCATTTAGTCTGTAACTTTTGTGTAAAATTTGGTAAGTGTAATTTTCCTAGAGTTATAGGAGCTTATCTCATAGTTGGAAATTTTTGCTATTGGGCTTTAGCTATAGTTTTAAGATTAGATTATTACCAAGCATAAGCAATGTATCTTATAAAAGATGTAATTAAATGTATGCCTGATTTATATGAGAGGGTTTGTTTTTGTTTATGTTATCAGCTCATAGGTTATATCTTTCTTTTAAATGTTCCCTAATATAAAATCTTGAAGAGCAGTTAGATGACACTTTTAATTCCATATATAAATGATAATTTCTTCAAACCATTTTTTGAGAGAAGTATATTTTAATGTGTTTAAAGTAAGCATTAAAGTAAGCGGATTAGAGATTTTTACCACTGTCTCGTGGGTTCTCTAAATATAACTAACATTTCCTACCTACTAACAAAGTTCTCTATGTATATCAGTTGGCTTGCAAGCTTCCCCAGTAGCAGATATAATGATAGTCCCTCTAAGCAGTGTTCTTAATTAGGTTTAAAAGAAATTCCAAACTTGATATTCATAAACCTTTTTCTAGCAAAAAGCTGCTAAGATTTTTCAAGTTACTTCCCATCACTTTTAAGTTAAAATAATATAGTAAAGGAACATTAGAAAATACTAAAGCCTAGCACATTTCAGAATAAAAAACAACAACAAATAACTGTGAAAGTATTTCATAAGTTGGAAATGGTTTATCCTTTAAAGGGAAAGAGCTGATAATTGTCTGTGCTTCATAGTTAAGGGTATTAGTGATTAGATTGTTTCCAACCCGCAAAGACAGATATTGAATCTTTTAAAACCTTGGCGTTGAACCTTTATTGTCTTCAGAGTGAGTCCCATCAGATTTATGCTTGTCCACTTCAGTGCTAGGAAGCTCAGTCCTTTGTACACCAACCTTTAGTCCACTTGCTGGGCAGCTCTTCTTATTTTTAATGAACCAAAACCTGACACTTTGCAGCTTCTGCCTCATAGCCCTAGTTCTGCTTTCTGGGCTACTTAATCCTTCTTCCACATTGTGCTAAGTAATCCCTTCTTTAATGGAATTTTCTGTTTTTTCCAAAACCTGTTCCCTAAAATGTTCCCACTGCCCATTATAAAAGTCCCAGGCTTTTTTTTTTTTAGAAAGAAAATTTACAATACTGTAAAAAGTCCTAAATTTTTATAGAAGAAATAAAATTCTAGGTGAATGTTTTGAGGGCAGAATTCATTCTTACCTGTTTTGATGTCATAAATGATCATATCTAATTTGAGATTATTCAAAACTGTCGTGTTAAGATGTGGGATTGAGCAAAGTCACATTTACTAAATATACTGTGACCCTATTAAACCCAAATATTTTGAGTCATATTAAAGCTTTTTAAGAAGTGATTGTCAAAGGACGTAGTAGAATGGTTTCTACTGTTCTGTTTAGGCACAAACATTTTCTGAACCTTCCATCAACTTTTTTCCCCTGACTGCTGCTTTCTGTCATGTCAGAGGATGAAGTTTTTGCTGCTGCAGCAGAAGTACCTGGAATACCTGGAGGATGGCAAGGTCCTGGAGGCCCTTCAAGTTCTGCGCTGTGAATTGACGCCACTGAAATACAATACGGAGCGCATTCATGTTCTCAGCGGGTAAGGAGGCCTCGTCCTCAGGCTCCGGGTGGATGGAGGCTGTGACTCTTACCAAGGTCAGCTTCCAAGGTCAGCTACATCTCTTTGACGTTTTTCCAAGATCTGAATATTGCTAAATTCTTAGGTAACACTAACCTGATGGATTCACTTAAAGGTGTACTCCATATTAGAATAGAGAAATATTTAAGTGGGTAAAAGGAAGAAGAAATATGTATTGCTCATGAAAGGCCATTTCAGAATCTTCAAAAACAAAAACAAAACAAAAAAAACACACAACTAAGTGTGAAAGTATTTCATAAGTTGAAAATGGTTTATCCATTGAAGTTTCCAGAATTAATGTGCGTATATATATATATATATTTCTTTTAATATATTTTATTGAGTTTTTACAGAGAGGAAGAGAGAGAGTAGAGAGTTAGAAACATCAATGAGAGAGAAACATTGATCAGCTGCCTCATGTACAACCCCTACTGGGGATGTGCCCAAACCAAGATATATGCTCTTGACCGGAATCGAACCTGGGACCTTTCAGTCCGCAGGCCGATGGTCTATCTGCTGAGCCAAACCAGTTTGGGCCATATATTCTCTTAATGTATACTTATGTACCAGGTTCTTGCTAAGCACTTCATATGTGCAATCTCATTTTATTTTCATGTCAATCCTTTAAAAGTTAGAGTGGTTCTGGACCTCCTTTCTGTTCTGTCTAAACACTCTTCCAAGGCACCCTCATTTTGTACCATGCCTTCGCATACCATCGATATGCCGGTGGCTCTGACCTCCCAGCGTACATGTCTGATGGCTACTTGACAGTCTCCATTTGGCTAATAGACGCCTCAGTTAACTGTTCAAAACAAAATACTTGATTCCAGTTGCCCATCCACCCACTTCACTCTCACTGACCTGTTCCTCATTTCAATAAGTGGTAAGACCTTTTACCCACTTGTTCAGACAAAAAACTTAAGCCTCATCCTTTTTACTTTTCAAATTACAAGAGATAGTTGGTTTAGAAAATTCTAGAGGTGGAAGAAGTAGGCCAGCTGGGCTGCATAAGCTGAGGAAACAAGTTACAGAGGCAGAAAAGGGACCTGGAATTTAGGAGAGAGAAAGGCAAGGATAATGCCCGGAAGCGTGGGAAAGAATGCAGGAAAGGGCCTAACTCTGAAACATCCCGGATCCGTCTATTTCTCTCACCTCCACAATTTCTACCCTAGGTAAGCCATAAGCGCCTCTCCCTCCCTTAACTGCATATTCCACACAGCAGCCACAGCAACACCTAAGCAAAACCATCTATTAACCCATTTCTCTCCTTAAAACTGTCCACTGGCTCTCTGGCATGCTTAAAATGCAGAAACTCTGCCCAAGCCCACTAGGGCCCTGATCTTTCCTGCCATCCGTGCCCTTACCATTGCTGTAGTAACACTAACGTTAAGGCATTTATCCTGCCTGTTCACTTCCTAAATGCTCTTCCCTAATCTCTGCAGAGTTGGCTCAGGTCCCCACCCAAATATCTGCTCCTAAGACCACCACCAGGCATTCTCTGTCACATCACTCTGTTTTTACTTTTTTTTTTTTAATATATTTTATTGATTTTTTACCGAGAGGAAGGGAGAGAGATAGAGAGCTAGAAACGTCGATGAGAGAGAAACATCGACCAGTCGCCTCTTGCACACCCCCTACCGGGAATATGCCCGCAACCAATGTACATGCCCTTGATCGGAATCGAACCCGGGTCCTTTCAGTCCCCAAGCCGACGCTCTATCCATTGAGCCAAACCGGTTTCGGCCACTCCAGAACTTTTTCTTGATCAGTGTTTCTTAGTAAGAACTAGCTAACTTGAGTAGCATCAGTATTTTTCAGTTGTTTCTAATCCAGAGAGAAGGACTTGCTATTTGGTTCTTTCCCTGTGGTATTTGTAGGTATCTGATGTGTAGCCACGCGGAAGACCTACGTGCGAAAGCAGAATGGGAAGGCAAAGGAACAGCTTCCCGATCCAAACTGTTGGACAAACTTCAAAGTAAGAGTCGTAATTTGTTGGTATCTCTGTACTTGTCCTTAGAGAGAACTAGGTATGTGAGTCCATGAGGAGGGCTTGCGTCTAGACACACTCTCATTGACTGTTATTTAGGGGGAGGTTGTAGCGAGGTCCATCAAGAGAACCCTGTGAAGCGGAGGTTTCCTCCTCTGCCATGGAGTCTAGTGAGAGGGTGCTGGTCCAGGCAGTTCCCTTTCCTTTGTTTTATGTAGCGATGCTCCCCATAAGATTCTGCTTGTGTGGAAAGAGCTGTGGTCAGGCAGAAAACAATGTAAGCCACAGCTATCAACCAGGAGTGTTGTAAATATTGTGTTTTCAATGAGAAGGCCCGGATTTCTTCTGTAAATTGTTTTACCCTCTCCTCAGCTATGTTCTGTGGCTTCCAATTTGGGGTAAGAGTTTCATTTTTGCCACATCTGTATATAAAAGACCTCTCCCTCTGTGCTTACGTCATGTTACTCTTTATACTTCATGGTGATCTGAGAACAGAGATCCTAAGAATCAGAAAACCATGTGGCTGGGAGGTATAAGACATTAAAGGATCAGAATAGATTGGTATCAGTATCAAAATACCAGTTATTTCTTGAATTTTCATTGGCATTAGAAGCAAATAGAATTAGGCTTGTTCCAGGATGTTGACTTGTTCTTTGTTAACTGGATTTTTTTCTTACACTTTTAGTGATGAACAGTCTCCCTCTCACACATCATCTTTAATTTTGTTTCCATTGTTACCACCTTTTTTTTTTTCTTAATTTTTTAAGTATTTACATTGATTTCAGAGAGGAAGGGAGAGGGGAAGAGCGATAGAAACATCGATGATGAGAATCATTGATCAGCTGCCTCCCGCACGCCCCCTGTTGAGGATTGAGCCTGGGCATGTGCCCTGACCAGGAATTGAACTGTGACCTCCTGGTTCATAGGTCAACTATCAACCACTGAGCCACACCTGCCAGGTCGCCTTTTTCTTTATTGATTTTTTTGTTTGTTGTTTAGAAGATCCACATTAAAGCCCTCCTGTTCAGGTATCTTCTAGTGGCAACACATCTGCAGACAAATAAATATTCATTAAGCTCATGTTACATCGCCCAGAACTGCTCTATTTAAGAACAATATCATTAGGGCAGAAGAAGAGTATGTAAAAGTTATGTAAAAGTTTATCCTGTTTTGTTTTGTCTTTTAATTTTTATTTCTCTATTTAAAGCGTATTTGCCACCATCGGTGATGCTTCCCCCACGGCGTTTACAGACCCTCCTGCGGCAGGCGGTAGAACTACAGAGGGATCGGTGCCTATATCACAATACCAAACTTGATAATAATCTAGATTCTGTGTCTCTGCTTATAGATCATGTTTGTAGCAGGTAAGAGGAAATTTAAATTCTGAAGTAGGCTAACATTTTTCAGACTCAGTTTGACCTTGAATAAGATGTTTCCTTTTTTTAGTTTTGTCCTGTAGCTATAAAACAATTCATGTCTGAGTTAGCATCTGATCATAAGTAAAGCTAGAATTACTGAAGTTGAAAAGGAAGAAAAATGTGTATATGTTCTTGACAGCAAACCACCCTGGAGAACTGAAGCTGGAAACCACGGGTGGTCATTTTCTCTCTCTGTCATTTTTTAGGGGCGGGTAAGGAACATTAGGTAAGAATGCCAGGGCCCAGAGCTTGGTGCCCCTGGATGCCAGAGACCCCTTAGTGGCTCTTTTTCTGGACATTATGGCTATTTTAACTGTGGCCCAAATTATTTCCTGCCCCAAAATACTTTTTCCTAATGCAAGTTCTGCTAAAAATGGTTAGACTAACGGTGTGAACTTTCTGCTGTGGGTTTTGTTTTTATACCGACCTATGTACATTGTTTAACTTGTAAGAAATTCAGGCTTCACTTTAGATGTTAGGACTATTTTGAACATAACTGTTCCTACTATTTTAGTAAACTCCAAAATGAAAACATGGCTTTTAATTTTTAAGATACTGAAAAAAACAAATTGTGAAATCTTTCAAACTCCAGGGAGGAGAGGATGGGGGGCTGGGGTACCAAATAGGAACAGCGGTAGTTCATGTGGTCAGTCTCTTCTCCAGACAACATCGAAGAGCTGCTGGGAGGGGCATGGCTAGGAAGGACAGAAATACATAAGTGTGAGGGCTTTGGGAAACCGAGGAACTTCGGAATAACTCAAAATTACACACATGCACCGTGATTCACGCTAATTTTTTAATGCATAAGGTTCTTTCACATGTAGTGAGTTCTCACCTCATTCTCCCTAGTTGCAATAAAAAATAATAATTTGTGCTACTGGCCTTAAATTTCAAGTGTTACTTAAAGTACTAGGTAATTACTTGGTGCATGTCTGAAATGTTCTAAAAGAAAATAATTAAAGATCCTTTTCCTTTATCTCTTTTTACTCTTTAACATTATTCTTTGACTTGGTAAGTCTTTCATTTAAATTGAATAGAGGTTGGAGGAGATAGATTAAAAGACTATATGGTTTCTTATTTCATAGCTCCTTTAGGGAATTTGAGACCAGTGTTGAAAAGGCAGTTGTGAACTCAAATCTTTTTTTGGTTCTGGAGTTCATTGTGGGTGGAATGTACTGAAAGGTATTTATGGCAGACTTCTTGATTCAAAAGTGTTAGTAGGTTAAGAGATTGCCTTCCTGTTGGGGAACTGAAATCTATGAGAGTGTGACCTACATTTTTCCTAGTGTTTGAACTTCTATACCAATACCTTTGAACGTAAATGATAGAAGATATTTGGTCTTCAAAAGAAAAGTCGATGTTTCTGATTATCTGCTTTACTCCTTTTTAGAAACTATATTTTGGCATTGAAACTAGAAAACTATATTTTCATAAGCTAAATCTTAGCATTGAAATGAAATAGCAGCTCTTTGGAAAATAGAAAATTGATTATGATTAAGTAAATTATAACTTTTTTTATAATCTTCACTCAAGGATATTTTTCCATTGATCTTTTGGAGAGAGTGGAAGAGAGAGGGAAAGAGAGAAACATCAATGTGAGAGAAACACATCGATTGGTTGCCTCCTGCATGAGTCCCGATCAGGGCCAGGGCTGGGGAGGAGTCTGCAACCAAGGTATGTGCCTATGACCGGAATCGAACCCGGGATCCTTTGGTCCACATGCCGATGTTCTATTCACTGAGCCAGACTGGCTAGGTCTAAATTAGAACTTTTAAAAATATCCTAATTAGCACTTAATAGTTTCATTAAATTGTACATTATTTACATTTTTCACAGTTAATGTATACATATTTTTTGTTAAGTTTGACCAGTAAAGAATAGGGTTGCATTTTGTTTTGTTTTTTAATGACTTGGTGGGTTTTTTTCAGCAGCAATCAATGGATGTCTCCACAGATTGCTTTACAAATACTAATTTTTAAGTAAAGTATTACGTAATATTTTATAGAAACTTAAAATGCTAAGGTTCAGTTTGATTAAAATGCTACATTTTATTCAGTTTTATTTGGGAAGGTACTGATATTTTTAACACCATCTTAAATTTTTTAAATTTGTTTGAATACATAGGTAAGCTATCACTTGTATACATCCAAATTTAGTCTTTTAATAAGCAGGGGGCTATTAGTCTTTTAAAAGATTAGGTAACGATGAAATAATGACAATTTACTGTTTAGTGACATTCAAATGTAACTGGTTGTCAGTAGGCTGGATGATCAGTGCCCTGTAATATTTGTTTGCTTTGAGAGTGTGTGTTAAAGCCAGCAGCAGCGGACAAAGGGAGGCCTAGGGGAGAAGAAATATCAGGGAGCTGAGATGGTTTTCTGTCTGCTTTGGCTCCCTAGAAACGGGAGGGAAGACGTGAGCCAAGGCCGAGTGCTGTGAGCTCACATGGAAGTCAGGGAAAAGGGGTTGGAGGCAGGACCAAGGGACTTGCTCGGGACGAGCTGCCACTGCCCGCTGCTCTCCTGGTGGCGAGGCTCCGGGACCCTTAGAGTCGAGGAGGAGGTAGAAGGTTCACGCCCAGGAAGGGGCCTGGGTGTGCTAGCGAGCAGCGGCTGCCAGCCGAACCTCAAGGACCACCAGTGGGCGACGGCTGCTGTAGAGCAAGCCCACGGCAGGTCTTTGTTCTGAGGGGTTTATCTTTTTCACGTGGGTGAGAACCTTGGGAGCATTTCGGCAGAATTTTCAACAGCTTTCCAGGGGCGTTTTTAACTTGCTGATGCATCAGAATGAGCACATAGGGGAATGTGGGGCTCCTCTTTGGTCTGCTTTACTCGAGTTTTTGTTACCATATTTGTTCCCCTGAGTTCATCTGCATTTAGCTCTGTGCCCTGTGGTTTTGATTGTGCATCAGTCCTTTTTTTTTTTTTTTTTTTTTTTTTTTTTTTTTTTTTTTTTAAACAGAGAGGAAGGGAGAGGGAGAGAGTTAGAAACATCAATGAGAGAAACATCGATCAGTTGCCTCCTCTTGCATATCCCTTCTGGGGATGTTCCCGCAACCAAGGTACATGCCCTTGACCGGAATCAAATTTGGGACCTTTCAGTCCCCAGGTTGATGTTCTATCCACTGAGCCAAACCAGTCAGGACTGCATCAGTCCTTTTTAAAAATATTTTGCTACTCTTGATTTTAGATGTCTCTTAAAAAGAATAAATTGTAAATTGAACCAGATTTTGGGTTACTGATTTCCCCTAAGATTGCCTTGACTAATGCATAATACCGTCTTTTTTGACAAATCAATGTAAACTTGATCGTTAAGATTTACAAATGCATTCATATCTTATTTTTTTTTTAAGTTTTGGTCTCCAGAGAAGTTTTATCAGTTGTTTAACCTTTGTCATTATGATTAATCTGTTGTGAACAAATAATGATTTTTGGACTTCTTTGTTTCAGGAGGCAGTTCCCATGTTATACGCAGCAGATCCTTACGGAGCATTGTAATGAAGTGTGGTTCTGTAAATTCTCTAACGATGGCACTAAACTAGCAACAGGATCAAAAGATACAACAGTCATCATATGGCAAGTTGATCCGGTATGTACTCAAAAGAGAGGTCATTTTCAATCTAATTGAGTACACATTTTTAATGTATGCACATACAGATAATATTTCGCAAGAACCTCTTTTGTCATCTCTGTCATGTCCTACCTCTTTTTGTGTTGTCTAGATTATGGGTATAAAACTTATCGAAATTGTTGAGTGTGATATTCGAGTGATTGTAGTAAGTCTGTGTGTGCATTGTTTAATTTATTTCTCTGAATAACCCTCTGAGATACAAACATCTCTTTAAATGAGAAAACTGATAGAGAAGCTAAAGGTCCAGGCTCTCACAGCAAGTAAATGGAAGCGTTAGACTCAAATCCAGGAATGTTTTTTATTCCAGACCTGCTCTTAATGTCTTTTTTATGTCAGTTAAAATTTGATTTATGGATTAATAAAGTACCCTTCTGTCACAAGTTAGAAAAGACTCATTATCATTTTGCCTTTTAAAATATTTCATTGTTTTGTATAATTTGTGGAACTTCTGTGAAACATACACACCCCTTTTTATGTCAGTGATACATATGAACAGTATTCTGGATTTAAAATTCTAAGTTTTAAAATCAGATATGTCATTGTGTGTAACCAGGTGACCTACAGATTTGTTGAAATAAGTATTTCCATTTCTTTCAGCCACTTGGACATTTATCAAGCAATCAAAGAAGTTCATGGCTCCAGATAGGTTAAGAAAATGTATTTGGTTAGCAGTCCTTCACCTAAAATCATAAAGTGAATGGCCTTTAAAAAAAAAAAAAAAATTAGAATTAGAATATATTAGCCCAGGATAAAGATCTTGGACTTCGATGTTGAAAAATAGAGAAAAGGATCCATAGAAGGAAATATTTTTTTAAAAAGATTCAAATTTGAGGACATACATCAAACTTGTGTATCTGTAATGTGCTATGAATGAAGAAAGTAAGTAAGAACTAGTCTTTGCCTTAACGCAGGTGTTCTTTAATTTTGTTGTACCGTGTATCATTCTGATGACCCTGTTTTTAAATACATAAACCAAAACACATAGAAAGCCCAAGTGCATACTACATATCAATTACTAAGGAAACCCAATTATAGTAAAACATAGTTATCAAAATAGTACAAAAACAGATACAGTATAATAATACATTGCTTGTTTATTAATATTTGAATAACCAATTATAATAGCAGATCTAGTAACTACCAAAATTTTGAAGTAGGGATGAGCATAAGTAGTACTTTGAGATTTCTGCAACAACTATAATGATGGGAAAATATTTGAGACTTTTATTATTAACAGTGTACTAATATGTTGCCTGATGATAATAACTAACACTATACCTAAGTATCACACGATACACACACAGTTTTATGAGAGCACAGGAGCTTCACGGATGGAGCCCCTCAGATGAGCCTTTCTGTGTATAACAAGGAGAGACGGGAACAGGGCATTCTAGAAAGGGGAACGTTTCCTCACCCCCAAATAAGAGAATAGCATGAGTAAGTCAAAGAGTGGGAAATAAGGGTAGGAATCCAACCATGGCCTTTGAATTCTATTAAGAGTTGTGTATTCAATTGGCGGTTATGCTCAGATCTCTGAAAAGAGCAACAATATCAAAGCTATTCTGCTTTTTGCTAGCAGCAGTGTGTAAGAGCCACTTTTGTTTGGAAAGTAAGACATGTAAGTCTCAGGTGAAGAAGGAGTAATAATTATTTAGGCAAAGCTAGTCACAACTGGCCCTTGGTGGAAGAAAGCATGGCAGAGCCTTTGGGCAGTTTGGGAAGAGGCTTCGCAGACTGGGAAGTGAAGTTAATGAATTCAGCAGCGGCCAGATGAAGAGGCTCTTGTATACTTTGCTAAGGGATTCAGACTTCCTTGCCAGTGCTGTCCAGAGTGCTTTGTCAGAATCCTGGTTGTGCAGAATGCTAATAGATGTTACGTGTGAAGGGCTTTTGTGGCCAGATCAGCTGGGAAATGTAGAGTTAATGCTTACATTTCAATCTGAGAAGTTGTGGGTTTAGTTTGGTGTGATGGTATTTTGCTATATTCAATACTATTTGAAACACTTGTGAGAAAATTGATGATCTTTTTGCATACGGGTTTTAATGGCTTAAAAAAAAAAAAAAACTTACAGAACCTTAAGATTTGAATTCCACTACCCAGTTTCTTTTAGCAGGTTTTCTTACCTTTGCCTCTAAAAACAAGAGTTTTTCCCATTTCCCCTATCAAAATCTAAGCAAAGTTAAGTGGATTCCATGAACATGGTATTTCTACTTTGGATAGATTAGTATAGAGAGACTGTTCTTGTGAAAATATAATATTAATATCCTCTCTTTTTTTTCAACTTTAGACCCCAGTCTGAAACATTGCTTTTTTCCACCTCTAGTTAACACCCTATCTCTATTTCCTGTCACATCCATCAATATGGAAAACAGAAATTGGAAGTTGTCTTTAAACTTTTCTTATCTCGTTCTGTTCTGTCAATTCTCTGTCCCAAGAATAATTTGATCCGACCTCTTCCGGTCCCAACTGTGTTCATTTAGGACTTCATTTCTTATCTTAACTCTGGCTGTTGCATTGGCTTTTGAAGGGTGTCCTTATCCTGTGTCCCTTCATTCTGATTTGTCTTCTAGATTGTTGTGTGAGTTCTCTTCCTAAAGCCAAACATCATGTATGTACTCCACAGCTAAAAAGTCTTGTGTCTCTTCACTCAGGTTAAAATTTAAGCCCTGACCCTAAAATATAGATGTCTTGTATATAGTGTCACTTCATGTATGTACATCATGTATGTACTCCATGCTAAAAAGTCTTGTGTCTCTTCACTCAGGTTAAAATTTAAGCCCTGACCCTAAAATATAGATGTCTAAAATATAGTGTCACTTGCCACTCATGTTTGCTCTCTACAATTCATCCTGTACAGCTCAAGAGTATCTTGACTTGTTTAGAGTCAGTCAACCCTCGTTCCAATTCCTAGTTGTAAACAGAGGCAAGTTCGACCTTCTCTAAACCTTCATCTGCCTCTCTCTAAAAGGAGGGGGAGGAGAAGACTTACCCGTCAGGTTTATGAGGATTACATGAGATACTGATACATTCTACAACATGGATGAACCCTGCAACCATGCCAAGTTAAAGAAGCCAATTACAGAGGCCACATGTTGTATATCAAATGCTCAGAATAGGCAAATCCATAGAGGAAATGCAGTTGCCAAGGGAAGGGGAATGGTGAATAACTGAATAAACTAAACACCACTGAACTGTCTACTTCAAAAGACTGAATTTTAGGTATATATCTCAGTAAAGCTGTTTTAAAAAACAAGGAAGCGGTAGCACTTACTACTCCTGTTTTTTTGTTTCCTTGAGAGCCCCCAGGGATGTTGTCTATGTCATCTTCATGTTTCCATCTAGCACACATGTCCTGTGTACGGTCCATGCTTAATCCATGTTGCAGCATGAACAAGTCTTTATGAAGCAAGCTTGTCAGAGCTTCAGGTGGGGTGAAATTGTGAAACCTCCTCAGATTGTATTATCAGAGTATACCTTTGTAGCTATATAAAGTCTCATACCCACGAAACAGGGACTTCAAGGATGGAACTAACCAAGCTGTCTGTTTCTCCTCCTAGGACACACACCTGTTAAAACTGCTTAAAACGTTAGAAGGACATGCTTATGGCGTTTCTTACATCGCGTGGAGTCCAGATGACAACTACCTTGTTGCTTGTGGCCCAGATGACTGCTCTGAGCTTTGGCTCTGGAATGTACAAGTGAGCAAGTTCCATCCGCGGCGTAGCCTTAAGTAAAGCATAGTCACCCTGCTCGTTTTCACTCTGCGGACAAAATCACCATACTGTGCCTCTCACAAAAGGAAATGCTTCAGTGTCCAGAAATGTTACAAATTTAAATATTAGGCTAAGTATTATAGAGTTTTTGGAAGAATAGTCCATAATTCATGCTATTTACTATGGTACTTTGTATCTCCAAAAAGATTTTATATTTCATAGTTTTCATAGTTATACACAAAACTTACCTTTCAAGTGTGAAGATATCAGCGTTAAATCAGATTTTCTATTCTAATGGCAATCGCACATCTCCCTCCCTGCATGGAAATGACTCAAATAAAGATAGAGGACAAACTTGAGTCTTGAGATGTACCTAAAAATGATATGCCATAATTTTAATCCTGCTATGCAATGGTCGGCAAACTCATTAGTCCACAGAGCCAAATATCAACAGTACAATGATTGAAATTTCTTTTGAGAGCCATATTTTTTTAACTTCTACTTCTTCTAATGCCACTTCTTCAACATAGACTTGCCCAGGCTGTAATATTTTGTGGAAGAGGCACACTCAAGGGGCCAAAGAGTCGCATATGTGGCTCTCGAGCCTCAGTTTGCCCACCATGGTGCTATTTTATCAGTACAATTCTCTTATTGCTCAGTCATTTACTTAAGTTTTAACCCCATCTTTTTATTAAAGAAATTTCTAAACATTAAGACAAGTTGAAAAAAGAGCCCAATGATCACCCATATGCCTACCGTTCTAGATTCAATAGTTATGAACATTTGTGTGTACATACATACATACATACATACGGACAAATACGCATACATACACATTACACATATTTTCATATTCAAAACATGTCAAGGTAAGTTATATTTTACCCCTAAATACTTAGCACGTATCTCCAAAAAAAAATAACATTCTCCTATATAACCAAGTGCCATTGTCTCACTGAAGAACATTAACTATAGTGCTCTGCTATCTAAGCTTAAATCTCAGATCATTCCCAAAGTGTCTTTTTGCCATTTTTATCAAACCAGTATTGTATTTGGAGTTGAGTGCTGGGGGGAGGAGAGAGAAGGAGGCAAGCACAAAATAGAATATATGGCTTTCTCAATAAAATAGGTTTGAAAGGAATCTGACCTAAACGATAAAAATTGTTGCCATTAAAACTTTCCCCCCCCCCCTCTCAAAAGCAGGGAAATGCAGTCATAATCCTGTAATAGAGACTCTTAACTTATAGCACCTGTGTAGTCTTCCTTTGAGTCAGTTTTTAAATTTCTGGACAGTTAAACTATTTTTAGCTTAACTGTTTTCCTGTACATGACTTTACATACTTGTTCTAAAAGGGTGGTCTTTTTTAGTCAGGTTTCAAATTGTTCCGTTACGTTTGTAGGTAGGTTCCAAATTATTAGCCTCATATACCTTACTCACTATCCTGAACATAATAGAAGAAAAAGCCATTTCAGAACTTAGTGTATTAACTTATTCCTGGATAGAAAATGCCGAGGGTTTAGCTGTTGAATGTGTATTTGTGCTTCTAGACTTCTAGACTAATATTTTAACCGTTTATATCAGCCAACCCAAAAATAAATAGGTGAGAACAGTTAACAATATGGGGGAAGGATTTAAGATTGCTGAAGATTTTTTTCAGTGTAAGGGAGACATCTGGTTTTCTATTTTTGTGCCCCCATTTCCTGATCATACACTTCGTTTTCACTCTTTTTTTTTTTTTTTTTTTTTTTTTTTTACTTTTGATTACCCATTTCTCACAGGAAAATTATGCCCATGTTCTTTTAATTATACCAAGGGAGCTATTCTCTCTCAGATCCTGTTTCTAATCCATGAACAAAATGGAATCAAGACTAGATTAAATGGTATGTGTCTACCTTCTAAGTTGAATAACTTAGAAAAATAATAGGAGGATATCTCAAGGTTATCACCCCTAAATAGCTCTGCTTGTAAGTTGGGAATGCTGTAGAATGGCTATTGCTAAATAGTACAGAAATCCCTCTTTTCTGTTACTTTTAGTGGAAGTAAAGCTACGTATCAGAAAAATAATTTTCATTTCTGTTTTCCCATTTTCCGACTACATTTTGAGCATCTTGAATATGAAATTTAACACCCTTGGCCCAGTTAAAGGACATAGTTTTTCTACCTATTAGTGGTATTTCTGAGTAATATTTAAGTAAAACGTGGCCTGAGAAGTCGTGAAACTCGGAGTAGGTGCTTAGTGTTAAGACTTTTTATCTTACTTGGGAAAGATTCCATGTTTTAACTTATGAATGCAGTTGATTTAAGATGAGAATTATATTGGAATTATCTCATCATAGCTGTTCTTTGGGTCACTGGTGCCAGGCATTGTTCAACTCCTGGATTTTTCTCTTGTAACTACTATAAGCATTTTTCATAAGGCTAATTTAAGAAAACTAACCAGATATCCCAGTTAATATTCTTTTTTTTTTTTTTTTCTGTACACATTTTCTTTACAGAGGTATCTTGAAGGTCTTATTCTCAGTTTTCTTCCTTTGTAGACGGGAGAGCTAAGGACAAAAATGAGCCAGTCACATGAAGACAGTTTAACAAGTGTGGCGTGGAATCCAGATGGGAAACGCTTTGTGACCGGCGGTCAGCGTGGGCAGTTCTATCAGTGTGTGAGTATTTCGCTTTCCCTTTCAAATGTCTGCTTGCTCGAAAGCAAATGTAGTTTTGTTTGCTTCCTGAGTGATGGTGGTTTATTTTTAATGACCAAGGTCATCGTCGTTTTCCCCTGCTCAGGACTTAGATGGTAATCTCCTTGACTCCTGGGAAGGTGTGAGAGTGCAATGCCTTTGGTGCTTGAGTGACGGGAAGACTGTTCTAGCATCAGATACACACCAGCGAATTCGAGGATATAACTTCGAGGACCTTACAGATAGGAACATGTAACTATTTTTTGTATTCATTAAACAACAATTATCTGGTTTATATTAAAATGGGTAGTTGAGCCCTCGCCGGTTTGGCTCAGTGGATAGAGCAAAATTTAACAATTGAACAGTCTCATGTTTGATTCTGGTCCGAGGCACATGCCTGGGTTGGGGGCGTGGCCCCCAGTGGAAGGTGTGCAGGAGGCAGCCATTCGATGGTTCTCTTTCATTGATGTTTCTGTCTGTCCCTTCCTCTCTGAAATCAAAAGTATATTTTTTAAATATGTAGTTGAACTCGCTCTTTAGAAGAGTTTTTATGGATTTGATGTTAGTTAATTCTGGGGTGATTTGGATTGATGGTCAGGTGATGCTGAGTAATCAAGTCAAATTCTATTTCTTGTATAATAATGACTACAGACAAAAGTCTGATATTTAAACTGGAACATTTTACATTTTAGTAATTTGAATATCTTGATTCTTTGATTCCTAATATGTTGCTTTTGACAAATTGTTTTCTGGTTACAGAGTACAAGAAGATCATCCCATTATGTCTTTTACTATTTCAAAGAATGGCCGATTAGCTTTGTTAAATGTAGCAACTCAGGTAAGTTAGCTAATATGATCCTCGGAAAAATCCATCTTAGTTCTAATTTTAATTGTGATTCTTATTATAAATATAAACAAAACTATACCACTTATTAAGATTATACTACATGTGTTTGATCCTTACGTGCATAGAATCAACTCTAAATTTGTCAGAACATTGGCATTTTACATAAATAGAAAATGAAAATGTTCCATTAAGGAAAGGGATATTCAACTTTTTTTTTTGAGTTGGCGTAAGTAAATACCTGTATTCTCTTTTCTCTGCAGGGAGTTCATTTATGGGACTTGCAAGACAGAGTTTTAGTAAGAAAGTATCAAGGTGTTACACAAGGGTTTTATACAATTCATTCATGTTTTGGAGGCCATAATGAAGACTTCATCGCTAGTGGCAGTGAAGGTAAGTCATTTGTGTCACTCTCCTTTCGCATGTATTGTGCATTTAAAGTTCTATAATTTTTTCAGTTTGTGAAGGTGGGCATGTCTCCAGGCAAGTTCAGATGTTAAATTTAAAATTATAGGAGTCATTCATCCAGTACACTGTTAATTTCTCCTTTTTTGGAATGACTTGAGTCTTGTCAGAAATCAATAGTGCCTGTTCTGACCATGTATGTTCTCTAGAAGTGCTTTAATATGTATGGCTGTCATTATCCTTAGTCATGCTATTTCTCCCCCCAACTAACTCAGAACTAAGTCTGGTGAATAATGTAGTTATACCACATGATATTCTGTGTAGGGCTAAACACGAAACGTGTTTATTTTGAACAGCATGTGGATGTAGTGAGTGTATTATCTCCGAAGGAGACCACACTAATTCGTTTGTCATTTATTTATAAGGAATGTATTCCAAAGACTTTCCAAATCCACAAGAATGTGAATGCCAATATCAAGCAGAGCAGTTAGAAAACCTTTCCCCCAAACACCATGCCTTTTCCCTGTGCTGGCACACAGAGAACTGCTGACTTTGTGCCTTGCGTTAGCTCTGGGTTCCCCAATCGGTGTGGCAGGCAGGGCTTGATCAGAGTTGTCCTTCTGACCTAGACTGCTTATTGCTGCATCTCGGAGAAATATCTTCCTTGGGTTTGTGTTCATAAAAGCATTTTCCTCCACATGTAGCAGATTTTGTGCATTCACACTTTTCCAGCCTGTAATCTTTTCTCTCTCGTTGACTTTTTCAGTTCAAGAAGAAAAAACTAATCCGCTTTCTTTATTTTGCTATTTGCATTTTATGCAAGGAAAAAATGTTTTTGGAAATTAATGAACAAGTACTTTCTAGAAAAGACAAATGCAGTTCTTCAATGACTGTTGTAGCTTTTGCTTCACACACACACACACACACACACACACACAGTTCAGATACAGGCCCAGCTTTCCGTCTTTTCTTACAAGTTTTGAAACAAGGGTATATTTCTACCTTTTCACAGCTCAGACACTTCCTCCCCCTGGAAGTTCCCACATTAATTACACAGCTGGCCAGTAGATCCTCAGATTGAGCACTTTTCTGATTTACCCTGGGATTCTGCCTTCTGTTGTAAGAACCACCACCTAAAGCTGTTAACTCTTATGGTGATACGTGGTATTTACTGTGTGCTGTTCTGTTCAAAACATCTTTCACATGCAAACTCCTGTCCTCAGAAATGATGAGGAAGTACGAGTCCACAGTCAGAGGAAGAATTGCAGAGTGGGCATCGTGCCAAGGGTACCCCACTAGCCAGTGGTGCAGAGTCATCTGACCACAGAGCCCACACTCGGAACCACTGTTCTGTATCATCGGGTTGGGTGTTTGGTTTTTTTGTTTGGTTTTTTAAGGTTAGTTTTATCACAGAGTAACAAAGTTGTGGGAGTTTGGGTTTATGGTCATTTCGTGGGGTTATAATCAGCTGACTGCAGAGCCACATGATGGGACAGTTGCCTGGACTCGCTGGTGAGGTCCTGAGCAGGGCCTCCCGGACGGCAGTCACTATTAACCATGGGCAGGTTTCCTGAAAGAGCGGGAAGCATAGTACCCACCTCACAGGGGTGGTGAAGAGTAAGCCACATATGTAAATTCAAAAAGTAATAACATGTATTTAGTACCTAGTACATTGTAAGCACTCAATAAAGATTGAGCTGCTATTCTTAGTATTGCTACTTTTGAATTTGGATACATTGCTTTTCTGTGTCATCTCACATTTCCATAGAATTTATCATCTCTAACCTCCATTTGTTTATATTCAAAGACCTTATCTATGGAAATGTATTACTCATGTATTACAGAATATTACAAATAGATCTTGTGATTTGAGAGCTAATCGCCTTTTAACGGGGGGAAATACGCGTATATTTTATTAAAATAGCTTTTCATAAGGTAATTTGTTAAACTATTAATGTTACATTTATTCTTTTTAAATTCTGATAATCAAGCCATGTGTTCTGTGCGTGCTGACGTTGGTTTTGTTAGTATATAACCACTTCATAACGGTTCTCTGAATCACTGTTCGTGCAGATCACAAGGTTTACATCTGGCACAAACGCAGCGAGCTGCCAATCGCGGAGCTGACAGGGCACACACGCACAGTCAACTGTGTGAGCTGGAACCCACAGATGCCATCCATGATGGCCAGCGCCTCAGACGATGGCACTGTTAGAATATGGGGACCAGCGCCGTTTCTAGACCACCAGGATATTGAAGGTAACACCACTGCCGGCTGCCCGGCTCCTCCCGATGAACGGCCCTGCTTCTTGGAAAGTTCTAGCAGTTTAAAGTGTGGGACATCACTTACCTTCTCCTTTTATAGAGGTTGCACACTGACTCCTCATTCGGGGGTTAAGTCATCTAACATACAGTGTTGTCTTTGTAGTTTCATTGCTGACAGTGGGAAGAACACGCTAGAACATGCCACCTCATTTACATCTAGTTAGTGTTGTCACTATAAAATCTAAGCATTTTATACTTAAAACTCATGAGAACGAGCTAGTACACAAAATACGAGCAACTGTAGATTGATTATAGATTTTACCCTTAAAAATAAATATCAGTTCATAGCATGTAGCCTGCTAGCATGAGCTAGGCATGATGGGTAGAGAAAGGGAAAGGAACTACTAAAATGCATCATGTATCTGGTGCCAAACAGCATGCTAGGCTTGTCTACAGTGTCCCCCGTAAGACCTCCGAGCCCTACCAGAGCAGCGTTCTCCTCATTGCTGGGGGGTGGAGGGGAGCTGCTGGGTGCTGCCCGCTCTCCCACATCCGGGCCTGGAAGGCGGTTCCCACAGCGGCAGGCGCTTGGAGGTGAAGAAAGAGCTTCACTGAGCCAAGATGTCAGAGAGAAGAGGTAATGAGGAATTTCTGTAAAGGACATAGCCCTCCTTTTCCAAACAGCGAGTCAGGTGTTTAGTTCGCTTCGAAGGAGCCCGTTTGCCTAGAAGCAGGTTGCTTTGTTCATACTGGGTCCCACTCAAGTGTCTGAGAGGAAAGATGACCAGCTGCTCGCAGCTCAGTGACTCTCAGAGGCGGCTGTCAGGAGAGCATCTGTGCTTTGGAAGAGCATACTCTGTGCTTTTATTTTGTTTATCTCTGTGCTGCACGCTGCAAAAGACTTGGCCAGATCTTACTGGCTCCAGAGGGGGATGGCCAAAGATTGGGGGAAAGCATGGAAAGCGTGAGGGTCAGAAAGGTCTGAGAGCTCCTTCCGGTTGTTCAGAACCATGGCGGGCCTTTCTGTGTGGCAGATCACTACGTGACTTTCTAAATCTTCTTTGTTGACCTATTTACATGTCAGGACCCACTCCCTAAGGTGTTCCATAAATCTATAACTGAATTATATGTGCTTTTCTACTCTTATCAGTCATTTAAAAGTTTTCTTCAAATAAGCATATTTGGTTTAGAGAAGTAGAAAACAGGTATTTCATAACAGATTATTGTAAGTGGGTTTATTTTAGAGCTACCCTGAGGATATGTGTACTGCAGTGGGCTCAAGTTCACTGCTCTCTGGTGGATTTGATTAATGTGGATACCCACTGCGGTACGTAAGCAAGTGTTAGCGCAGCTGTTGTAAGGTCTTGGACTAATTCAGCAACTGTCCATTGCATTTTGGCTACATAGGTACATAGGGATAGCCCCCAAGATTTCCACTTAAACCTAAAATAGGAAAAGCTTTTATAATTAGATATTTGGTGATATGCCTTTTATACAGATAGCTTCTGGGTTCTTATTATTCCCCTGCTTGAAAACATGGTTTTTGTTTTTGTTTTTTGTTTTTTTAATTAAAGTAATACCTGTTTGAAATAGAATTTTTGAAAAACATAGATGAGACTAAAAAAGTTGCCATTTAAAAATCATAACACCTTAAGACAGTGGTCTGCAAACTGCAGTTGACTGATGAGTTTGCCAACCACTGACCTAGACTGTCAATTACAATGTTGTTCCTTATGATTAAGCCCCTATCCCAGTGGTCGGCAAACTCATTAGTCAACAGAGCAGAAAACTGCCCTAAGATATGCTCTATAAGTCATTCAAATAAAAATTTGTCACTTAATTCCAATTCAAAAGAGAGAATTTGCTAACCTTTTGTTATAGTAGAGTTTCGTACTGTGTGTGTGTGTTTTTGCTTTATTTTGAGGAATATATAAAATAGAATAGTCTCAGATGCTAACATATGCTACAGCTTGGATGAACTTTGAAAACAATATGCTGAGTGAAAGAAGCCAGACACAAAATAGCACATACTGTGATTCCGTTTATATGAATGGGCAAATCCACAGAGACAGAACGGCTAGTGGTTGCTTAGGATTGGGGGTGGGTGTTTGTATATGGTAATGGGTGATGAAATGTTCTGAAATTGATTGTGGTGATGGTTTAACAATCCTGTGAATATACTAATAACTCATGAATTGTAACTTTAAATAGTACGTTGTATAGCATGTGAACTATATCATATCAGTAAAGCTGTTTATAACTGTACCTCCTCTCCTCCCCAAGAAAAAATAGGGTGATTTTGCAGAATTTCAAACTGAGCTATCAAAAGGAGGATTAAGTATATAGTTATAATGCACAGTTCTGCCTTGGACTGCCAGATATATCTAACTGTTATAAACTGTCATAAAGATTTTCCTATTGTGCATAACTATTTCAAGGTCCATTTTAAAAGTAGGAGATTACAATATAATTATTCACTTGAGTACTGCAATATTCAAAATGATCATGAGTTTAATATATACTCTGAGACATGATACAGGCACATCATTTTAATGATTATGATAAGAGTTTGCCTTGATGTGTTTGATTTTTAATGTTACTGTATTTTTTAATGTCATGGTATTGGTTTTAAAACTTTCTAACTGGTAACTTTTTCTCCCCTCCCCTCTTCTTCGTCTCACCACCCTTCCCCGTGTTCTCCCGTCTTGTCTTCAGAGGAATGCAGTAGCATGGATAGTTGATGGCGAATCTGGAGCAGACGACTTCTGTTTAACTTAAATTAGTCGTATTTTAATGGCTTGGGATTTGGTGCAAACAAACATGATTGATAGCTGGACAGACATGCTCGTCATGAAAAAGAACCATTTCTGAAGCCCGGTTGGGGCCAAACATTTACACCTTGCTTCATAGTAACCCGTTGAGATGAAGCACGTCGTTAGAACGTTGTTGGACACCATGTTGAATTATCCCCCATCGGTTGTGAAGAACTGTGCTACATTCAGGCTTACCCATTGAACTCAGTATATATTTTCCCCCCCTGCCTTTTGTCTGGGGGGATACCATTCTTGTTGCTCTTCTGTGTAATGAAGTTTAAAATGCTTGTTTGGAAACTTTATTTAACAGTTTAGAAGGCTTGATAGAAAGAGTGCATTAGTCTGAAGAGTATACATTGGATAGGAGAGAATTTCCTCCTTTTGTTTCTCCAAATCTTTCCGCCTTATTTAGCTTGAGATCTTTGCAGCTTGGTTCATGGATTCTAGCCTTGCCCGTTGCACAGTATATACAGATCCAGATGATAAACCAGTGAACTATGTCAAAAGCACTCTCAATACTACATTTGACAAAAAGTTTTGTACTTTTCACATAGCTTGTTGCCCCGTAAAAGGGTTAACAGCACAATTTTTTTAAAAATAAATTAAGAAGTATTTATAGGATCAAAGTGACTTCCTTTGTATACATTTGGAATCTAAACCAGCTTAAAAAACCGTTTCCTCTATGACTTAGATGCGCAGTCCAACTGATGCTCTTCTGGAATACCACCCGAGACATGGTCAGAAGCAGTGCCGGGAAGGGCAATACACAGGAAACGCAGAGAAATAATTGGAAGGTGTCCCCCCCCCCCCTTTTTTTGTTTTATTCCTGAAGTAACATCCTACCTGATCTTGAAGAAATTCAAGATTTAAAAAGGATTTTAAAGATAATGGACATGAGAGATCAGTAGGCAGTTTAGGCTTTTGGCAAAGCTTGTTCCGAGTTGTTCTCAGCTTGGGAGTTGTTTGGTGTGATCTAGCCAGAGAGTAGAAGCCGCAGGTGATAAACCACGTTGGAAGTTGGTAGTATAACTGAGCTCGTTAGAACGCAGCAGGTTACAAACACATCTAACCTGGTTTCAAACCTCATGGTCATTTCTCTTAATCGCCCTTAATATTTTGACACGTAGGGATCCATCCATTTAGAGGACCTTCCTTCTCAGTTTTTCAGATATTGCCATACTGAACCTCATTCTAAACTGGTGCTGTGGGTAGTCTTTCCCTCTCCCCTCCCCTCTTAGTGTACGGAAAGGTTTCCTTCATGGAAAAAGCACTTTTCATTTTGAGAATTTCACATGTAAAAGAAACCAAAAGCCTGGTGTTCACATTGTGCTTTTAAGGCCGGTAACAGCTGAATGCAACATCCTCTGGACCCCTTTGCAATTCCCTCCCTTTTTCAGTAGAAAATAAATAAGTGACCACAGCTGTTACATTGGGAAGAGGCGTGGGAATGCCCCCAAAATACGATTCTGGTGAAGAAAATCTTGAATTAAGTCCATTAGGCCCAGCCAAGCCTGTATTATTACCGTGAGTAGACTAGAGGATCCACAAAGAAAAGAAAAACGTGGGTGTCAGGATCCTTCCATCAGGGCTGGGGAGTTGGGGATGGCAGCACAGAAACAGGAAGCCAGGGAAGGGGAGTAGAAAGAAAAACACAATTGGCCTTAAAAAAGCACGGATTGTCCCAACGGCTCTCCTAGTCAGAGGAAAGGACAGATCGTGGTCATCAGATTATTTTATCAAATTGGTATGTAAAAGATTTCTTTTAAGCTCCATTTTTGCAGAGATCATTACTTAGAATCAAGAAATTCCTGTTTTGATACTTCTGAGTTCAGATACTATATGTTACAGTTTATCTGGTACTTCATTTTTCTTAACTACAATTCCTTTTTACTTTAAGCTTGAATAAAAAATCTTCCTTGGTAACTGTATATAATTAAGTGGCAACTCCTCTTTACCTCAGTGCAGTTAAATCCATATCTTAAGTGATTCATGTATATACCCTGAAGCCGTTAATACACCCCAGGCTGCAGCCACATCCCTCACAGGACGTGGGCCTAGACACTCCACAGCTGTTTACAGACATGGTTATGGTGTGTCCGGGAACATGGCGACACTCGCTGAAATGTGTGTCCCTTCAGGAGAGTTTAAGGCCTGCATGTTCAGAGTGGAATGAACGTGAGGCACACCTTACACTGACATAACTCCACTAAAACGGAGTCACAACTATGCAAAGGTCTCTGCAGCAGCTAGCTAGGTGAGTTTATTTTCCAGGTCGGTCTGAACGGGCCGCTTCCTACGTATGCTGTGCCATACACGTCTGTCTCACGCATTTGCCATGCTGTGATTGTGCTGGAAAGGTGAAATAAATAAGAAACCCAGGGACTTAGGGTACAGAGAGCCCAAGAGCAGGATGGCCAACCCCTAGGTGTCACTGAAAACTTGAGTGTGATGTAGAGTTAACAGAATATATAGGGGAGAGCTCTCAAGCCAGTGTAAGATACTAACAAACGTATGAACTGAAAAGTACCAATACTTTTTGCACATAGATCAAAACAGAGTGGGGGATTTTGGCTCCCAAAAATCAGGTTAGTAGGCTCATTTCCATGTGCTTAAAAATGTTTTTTGTTGTTACGAATTGATTAAGGGCTAGAGGAAGTATGAAATTAAATGTCTTTTTCCTCCAAGTAATTGGTTATTCATAGTCCAATGTTGGGTTTGGGGGTTACTGAGACGGGCGTGTGGGTGGTGGTAACGAATCAAGAATTGGGAGGGATGACTACGCTGCAGTTTTGGTTTTTGTACTTGAATTACTAGTGTCCATGCCAGCCACCTTTCTATCACTCTTACTGGCCAGGGAAATGTGTTACATCAAACCAGGTAAGTAGTTTAAACAGGAAACTTGACTTACAAATGGCCCTATAAGTTGGCCTGTTTTAGTGGGTGGGACACAGAAAGGGATTATCTAAGTAATTCCAATAACCTGCTAGTTACCAGCGGGGGGGAAATCCAATTTTTGTCAGTATTTTCTTAATCTGAAATCACATTAGTTGTAATCTGGTGATTTTAGTATTAGGAGTGTTCTCCCTCCAGAGTGGCATTCCGTGACATTAATAAAAAACCCTTCTCCCCCACCCCTCCCCATCCTGAAATTCTCTTTTTTAGGATGTTGGTTCCTGCACACAAGAACCTCTGCTCACAGTGATAAATGTATGGTACGTCTCTTGAGAGGGACATATCCATGTCAGTTTCTTTCACAGCAGAAGATGGCTGCGTTTGAATGGGGAGGAAAGAAGACATTTTTCTTAATATCCTTTGGTCCCATCTCTCAAACGGATATGCATTCTGATTTGGGTTTAATTTCTCACTTAAGACATTAGCAGCTCCTTTGGGGTTGCTCTCCAAAATAGTACTTCCATTCAAAAAAGACCATGTTTGATTTAATATGAACAAACTCAAAAAGAGAGGTGAATTTCATTCACACATAGACACTTTCTAAAAGCAGGGTGAACCGAATTGAAATTTCTCAGTGTCGTTAGGCTGTTACAGTAACTGCCCTCTATAGTTGCAAAAACAAAAACTATAAAAACTCACCCCCTATCTACTTAATCCAGATAGCCTGGAGGTAATGAAACTAATAGTCTAAAACTGTGTGTGCTGTGTGTCGGTGGAAGCGAGTACTTACTTCATAGAAAGGCCTGGAAGCAGCTGTCCTAGGCTCCTGTTAGTTTTACGAGAATCTTGTGCACATGCGAAGTGCCCTCTCCGAATTGAAGGTTTGGCTGGTACTGGTATATTTTTATAAGACTGATACGGTGTCCCCATCTTTAACGTAAACATTTTCATGATCAGGGTCAATGCGCTAAAACAATGGTAACATTTTTAGGCACAGATGGAAAGAAATGTTACTGGCTCCTTGAAAATGGGGGTGTGTGGTGGCGAGGGGACTAGATCCACAAAAAGCATGTACGTCCTTACAAACCAAGCTGGAGAGATCAAGAAAAGAACTCGTGTTGATCTCAAGGTTTCTAAATGGTCAAGGTTGACCTGGCATTGTGGTGGAACTAGTTAACAACGTTAGAGCTTCTGATATGTAATAACGACTTGCTATGGACTGATTAACTGTTTCAAAGGATTGTGTTCTTAAATTTTGGGGGTTGTTTTTTTGTGTGTTTTTCTTTTTAACTGCCTCTCAAATTATATTTAGTAGTTTAAATTTCTTTGCTTTATCATTTCATTAAAGCATAAAAAACTTCAGGTCTCTGATATTTATTTTCACTTGTCCCACTAATTATTTGCAAAACACCCTTTGTTAACGTTTATATTATAAATGTGTAGTATATTAAATGTCTTTAAAATTCTGTTCAGTTGACGCTACATTAACTTTGATTTGTGTTACTGGTTTGTTTTTTTAATACACTTTTCCATGTCAGTGCGCAGCACTTAACAGTTTGTATTCCCTTTCAACCCAATAAACAGAATGAATAAGTAACTGTTGCTGTGTTCACTCATAATATGCATTGATCTGCATGTTTTAGTATTGTTTTTACCTGAAACAACCAATTTGCTAAATTTGACTTTTAAATATATTTTATTGATTTTTCACAGAGAGGAAGAGAAACGGATAGAGAGCTAGAAACATCAATGAGAGAGAAACATGGATCAGCTGCCTCTTGCACACCCCCCACTGGGGATGTGCCAGCAACCAAGGTACATGCCCTTGACTGGAATCGAACCTGGGACCTTTCAGTCCACAGGCCAATGCTTTATCCACTGAGCCAAACCGGTTTCGGCTGAATTTGACTTTTTAAGTTGATGACTAAGGAAGGATTCTTATCTGTTGGGGAATCTTTTTAAAGAACTGTTGTGTGAAATCATGGATTAACTTAGAAAAATTTACATTTTTAAGGAGTCACATATCCCACTTATTCAAAATATTACTGACCTAAAATTATGCACTTGGGCATCGAACACCTTGATTAGTGGAGAAAATATATTTCTAATTTGAAATTAAAATTTATATCATAATATTTTAGTTCTTTAAAGATCTAAGAGTGGAGTTCTGTTCAGTGAAAGGAAGCTCAAATATGAAAAATTAGTATTTGGCAGGCAAATGCTGGCCATCGGCAGAGGGTGGCAGAGCCACTCAGAAGCCAAAAGGCACTGCTGTGAGCCATGGTTGAGGCTTCCTCTGGTCCACAGGCAAGAGAGCAAAGGAGTTTTACTACTTGTTTTCCTTAAAAACAGCTCTGCGTTGCAGAGGGAGCCAACTCAGATGGTCCATCTGCATTTCAATTTCTACACCAGATTCCAGCACCAGCAATAAAAACCTCCCAACCTTGAACCTAAGAGTAGAGAGTGGTATTTAAAACAATTCCCTTCCACTTAAGAAAAGTTGGTCTTCCGTTATATATTTAATGGCTTGACATTTTTCCCAGAAAAAAAAACGTAAAACTATATAAGAAAGATTCAACAAATCATGTGACCCCATCATCCTAATACCACCTCCAAGCATCTTAAGTGTCGCCATTGACCTTGTGGCAGTGAGCTCTTCTCCCTCAGACTTGATTGGCGTACTTAACTGAGCTTGCTGGATATGAAACGGATTCTAATCACATAGTTCACGAGATATTGAAGCAGCATGAAATTACTTATGGCTACCGCAGGAAACCGGAAAGGATGAGTTTCAGTCAAGTTTTCAATTCCATTTTGTGGGGCTTTTAATATATTTTCTGTCGCCCTTTCCCTTTTAAGTGGGGCTGCCTTCCTCTGGCGTGCGAGGTTGGGTGGCAGCCCCACTCCCACATCCACGCTCCCACTTCCACGCTCAGGTGACGACAAACACCCCACGGGGGGTTCAGGCGAAGGCTGAGAACCAGAAATCTACAAAAACTCAACTCATGGTTTTTTAAATAGTTTATATGGTAAAAATACAGCAAAAAATATTTTTTTTTGTTCAAAGAGGAAAAAATATACTGCTATGGTTACGGTTCTAAGGATGACACAAGATCTCTGGCTCCTCAACAGTGCACTGTAGTGTCGCTGACTTCCACCACGGCTGCTCCAGCTTCAGTCGTTAATCAACGCTAAGATCATACTGTGGAGAGAAGACATTCAGGTCACCCATGTTTCCTGCAGGCATGTCCCACACAGTCCGCTGTGTCCCCATCACTTCCCTAAGGCTCATCTAGGGATCTCAACACCCATTTGAGTAAAAGACGATTATTTACATGGAAAGAAAAAAAAAGTCTATGTAGGGGTTTCTAGGTGCCCTGTGTTTTTTTTTTTTCACTAAAAAATAAAAGGTAATCACAGTGGGGGTGGAGGATATAACCTAACACCAATATTGGGCTGTCATCTAGGAAAAACAAGCTATGTCCAGGGCAAAAACCAATTCTCTAGCCAGATCTTTGAATGCCAACCCTTTGTATGCCCGCAACCCCGCCTTCCCTCCCAACCTGTCAACCTAAGACCTTCCTAGCCAGGCCTCTCCTTCCACAACTCATCTCCCACCCGCTGGCTTCCACTCTGCCCTGGGTGGTGAGCTCTTCCCAGACAGCGCTCTGACCGGGGCGTCGTCACTCATGTTCCAGAACAGCATCCAACCACGGCATCCCAGGCTCCTGGCTTCTACAGAGGGACCGTGTGCTGCTCCTGTGTGTCCCTGACACAGTGCAGTCTCAATAAACCCGCCACTAAAACCACCACGGTAACAAGCTACCATTTCCTTTACTGGGATCAGCTTCGCTCTACTGAGATCACATGATGAAATGCACAGAAATAACCTGGCATTACTAATGGTATGAGTTGTTTAAAGACGGGTAGTTCAACGTTAACCGTACTCAGTGCACAGACCAGATTAAGGTAGTAACCAATACTTTTTTAAAGAATTTTTTTTTTTAAGAGTTTAGGTCAGCACAAACCTCAGTGCTTACAGTCATTATCTCATTTAGTCCACATCAACCGATAAGGTAGGCACTATTACTATCACATTTTCAGAGGAAGAAATTGAGGCACAGAGAGGTTAAGAAACCTGCCCCAGGTCACACAGTGACTAAGAGGTAGAGCCCAGATGCCCCTACACCAGTAATTAAACAAAAAAACCAACCGCAGGTTCTACCAATCTAAGACGGGCATTTCCCCCTTTAATTCCATTTAGTAAACGCTGAATCAGTGCCATATTTAAGGCACCCAGGCAAGCTGTGGCCACAACACAGAAAGGGGCAACAAAATCCCTGCGCTGGAAATCTGATGATTTTGTAGATAAAACCACTCGGGACATCTGAGATTATTCTTTCATCCTGATCCCCTGAGCCAGGGGTGACTCAATGGGTAAGGTAGCAGCAATGAGCCTAAAAACGACAAGCTCAGAAGAAAGAAGAAAAGAGAAAAGACAGAAAGAAAGGGTGCAGCGAAGGCGGAATGCAGCTCACTCGGTCAAACCCCTGCCAGATTGCCTGTCATTTCCTTGGTTGTAAAGAACCACACCTTAAACCTGCCCGGACAGCTTCCTGATTCCTCTAAGCCCCGTGGCTTCCCATTGCTTGAAATTCAGCAACTGAGAGCTAACAGACTGGCATCCATTTTTAATTCTTAAGGCGTCTTGGTGTTCTAAGGAAGACACTGCTCCCTAAGCCTACATTAACTCCCGGAAGTGTGACTGCATCCTTCACAGCTGTCCCAAGAAGCTCCTGCTAGCAGGCCAGGGAATGGCCTCTGTGCTCCAACAAGTAAAACCTGGAGGCTGGGGATTAAGCCCGAAACCCAAGCATGTGCCCTTGATTGGAATCGAACCTGGGACCCTTCAGTCTGCAGGCCGATGCTCTATCCATTGGGCCAAACCAGCTAGGGCGACGTCTGACATTTTTTAAACTGCTATCTCTATTCAGTTTCTAATTATAATATTAAGACTCCACTGAGTGATAGGAGTTTCATTCAGTGCAAGTTTTTCCTAACAGCCCTATGCCTATGTGAAAAATTAAAATTCACCTGCAAAAAACTAGGAATGATCTAATTATGCTCAGATACGAAGGTTAAACCTGACGTCTAACATCATAAAAGCTTAATCAAGCCATACACATGCCAACTTCTTTCCCTCTGCTTTATCTATGCATCTGTGATAGGTTTAAAAAAAAAAAGTGGCATGTTTATCTCTTAAAACATACCGTAATAAATCTAAGTTTATTCTTTTTTTTAAAATATATTTTATTGATTTTTTTTTTTTTTCAGAGAGGAAGAGAAAGGGAGTTAGAAACATCGATGAGAGAGAATCATTGATCAGCTGTCTCTGCCATATCCCCTACTGGGGATGTGCCCGCAACCAAGGTACCTACAAATAAATCTAAGTTTAAAACAGGGCTGCATAAGGCTTCCAGTGTCTGACAGCCAATCCTTCATATCAATTCTTTTTTTTAATGGCTGTGTCCTGGATGCCCCACACTGAGAATTGGGCCCACAAGCCAGGCATGTGCCCTGACTGGGAATCGAACTGTGACTTCCTGGTTCATAGGTCGATGTTCAACCATTGAGCCACGCCAAGATTAATTCTTACACTTCCAACCTGTTATAATCAAAGCCTGATGTAATTTTACCAGAATGGATCACTTAACAGGCTGGAGAATAGATATCACACCTCAGTTTCTTATTGCCGAGAAAAATAAGCCAAGCTGGCTGTAAGGTGCTGAGAGCTACTGCCAGTAGTCTGGTATCCCATGAGTGCAGCAATCTTTAGGCTACAAATATTTATACTTAATAACATGCAGTGAGCCGAAACCGGTTTGGCTCAATGGTAGAGCATCAGCCTACAGATTGAAGGGTCCCGGGTTCGATTCCGGTCAAGGGCATGTATGGTTGCAAGCACATCCCCAGTGGGGGGTGTGCAGGAGGCAGCTGATTGATGTTTCTCTCTCATCGATATTTCTAACTCTCTGTCCCTCTCCCTTCCTCTCTGTGAAAAAGCAATCAAATATATTTTTTAAAAATAAATAACACGCAGTGAGAACACACAACTGGACACCAGGGTAGGAAAGAAGTAGCAAAGAAAGTTTAAGCATGTTGACAACTTTATAGGTAAGGAATAACTAATACTAGAGTAACTCCATTGTAGGTCAGACAGAACGCTGACTCAATGACATGCATAAAAACCTACACACTGCAAAATCTCACATAACTCCCCAGAGCTTGCCATGTCGATGCTAAATCCTACAGTACGGTATCTAACCCATCAGAAGCAGGCATGGGATCCAGGAAAGGCCTGCTTCCAGGCAAACTCACCTGTAAAGATACATAAAGAAACAGAGCAGGTGGAAACCAAGCTTGATCATGGCTTCTTTCATGTGTGACTTCAGCTGCCCTCGATTGTGGATCTCTGTGGGATCAAACACCCCCATGTTTCCACTTGGCACCATAATGAACCTGATGAATTGAAGGACGCACACATATTAGAAGGAAAATCAAATCATCAGCAAAAATATTCAGAACTAAGTAACCAATAATAGTCAATCTTTGAAAGTGAGCGAATCGCCGAAACCGGTGTGGCTCAGTGGATAGAGCGTCGGCCTGCGGACTGAAAGGTCCCAGGTACAATTCTGGTCAAGGGCATATATACCTTGGTTGCGGGCACATCCTCAGTAGGAGGTGTGCAGGAGGCAGCTGATCAATGTTTCTCTCTCATCAATGTTTCTAACTATCTCTCTCCCTTCCTCTCTGTAAAAAAAAAAAAAAAAAAAAAAACACAAAAAAATATATTTTTAAATTTTTTTTCTTTAAACTTTCCTGACACAAAACAGCAAACGAACAAGACTCACCGATATATATTCCAAGTGGCAACGGGCAGGTTGAGAAGGAAGATGAACCAGTGCAACGAGACGAGCATTAATAAGGTGACAATGGTGTGGCCAATCAGTTCTGGAATGATCCACTGCAAAGGGAGAACAGAGTACCCATCTCACTGCCGGGTTCTTCCTGAATGACATGTCATTTAAAGCTGCATCAACCAACGGTCGGGGAACTTCCGAGCTAGTGTTTCAAGATATTTTTAGACTCAGTGTCCCAGATTTGCAAACTGCTGTAACTGCTTAGCCCATGCAGGCACAGCGGGGCACAGCTTGCAAAAAATGCACTTAAATTTCAGCCATGTCTTATCTGTCCTTAGCACATGTTCCATCCTTCACTAAGCAGGTATGAATGACAATTAGGGGGGGGATGACAATTGTCACTTTCAATAACCAATATCCATGCTGAAGCCCCTACTCTAATTTGGGACGGTATATCCAATGCATGCCGCCTGTCCTGTCAGAATATCAACCTTAAACATTTTACAACCTCCAGAATCTGGAAGGAAATCATTTCTCTCTCTCTCTCACACACACAAATACAAAGTGCTTTAACAATTAAAGCTCAAAGTTGAACAGATATGATAATGACTAAGCTACCAGAATCCCAGCCTGCTGGCTTTCTAGCACTCAGATGCCCTCATCTTTGCTCCTGGCTCATTGGGCAATGTTCTACTTCTCAGGCCTCAACACCATTGTGGCAGGTTCTCAGTTCACCAGTGGTCTTCTCCTAAGAGTAGACATTTTTCTTTTAATTAAAATTAACAGAAGCTAATATTTATGGAGCTTCTAAAAAATCTGAGTTTTACTTCCCTCATTTCTACAAGCAGGGAACCTCAGGTTATATGAACTTTTATCTAGAAAGCTTTCGTCTGCTCATTTCAACTGAATCAGGATCGACGGGTTTCTCTGCATCCAGACAAGCTCTGCAATTCAGAACCTTCTGGCCAATGTAAAGTTCTGATTAGAAACCCAAGGCAAAGTGGCTTTAAAACAAATCAGCTAATTAATTCCATTTCTCAGCAAGCCACCAAGAGAAGGCCTTTCATTCAACAGCAGACAGACTAAGCTTTCTTTCCAGGGGGGCGAGAGGGGGGGATGGAGATGGGGAGGGGGTGCTCACACAATCACCCTCGTAAGAAACCTTTATCTAGTCTGAGTGACAATCTGTGGACAAAGGTACATAGTCATGATTTAAAACTATTGTGAAACACACAGTTCTACCAGCATTCCAATAAGAGACAACATGCACTCTGAAATCAAATATGCATGTGGATTGTCTATCATGGCCTCACACAGAAAACAGACAACTGCCTTCAGTGTCAGACACTGAGCAAAGAAATGTCTTACCTTGTTTAATTTCGAGCAACATGATCTAGCATTAATGTAATCACATTCTAAATCAGACAGTGTAATTATCTGAGGATCAAGTTAAGGAATTTTTAGGCTTCTTTTATAACAAGTATTTGTTTTTAAGTTTCAGAAGTATTTGTTTTTAAGTTTCAATCCCAGTTGCGAGGCAGAAGTAGACTTGACTTGAACAAGGCTAGTTATTTCCTTAAAGCTCGCTCATTTGACAACACAATTTTTGCATTTGTGTTCCTTCAACAAATAAATGATTTTCACAAAATAATCCTTTCGTTGTGCCCAGTTCTAATGTGACCCATGCAGGACATTCCATCTGAATTCCTCAAATGCCAAGCAGTGGCTATAAGAAATAGGGAAAGAAGACCCATAGAAACAGTATGAATGTTAAAAACCTGAATTCTCAATAGTAGAAATAGTGTTTACTTATACTATAACCATAAAATGCCTTTAAAGATTTAATATATTAAAAAAAAAGAAACACAGAATACAAAACTATAAATACAGCATGGTCATCTTAGCAGTCCATATGCTGCAAAAGTTGGGTTACAAATGATTTGTTTTCCTAATATTTTTCTCTAATTCCCACACTTTCTACAATAAACATATGTTATACTGTAATTAAGCAAAAACATGGTTTTTGGTAAAAAATATAAACTCACAAAGGAACATCGGAGGGACAGATAGACAAAAGGAAAAAAGTTTTCAACTGAGAGGCAATGCCTGGGCTTTACTTTAAAATGGCCCACCATTTTATTTTTTTTAATAAGCCTAACAACTTTTATTTTTATTTTTTTTAAATATATTTTATTGATTTTTTTACAGAGAGGAAGGGAGAGGGATAGTTAGAAACATCGATGAGAGAGAAACATTGATCAGCTGCCTCCTGCACACCCCCCACCGGGGATGTGCCCACAACCAAGGTGCATGCCCTTGACCGGAATCGAACCCGGGACCCTTCAGTCTGCAGGCTGATGCTCTATCCACTGAGCCAAAGTGGTCAGGGCTCCTTTGTTTTATTTCTACCCATGACACAAGCATCATTTGCCCAGGATCACAACATGGCAAGGTGAGTCTGCCTTGTTTCCTAACTCAGAATCAATGGCTGCCAGGCCCCAGCAATCACCCCGTGGCAATTCCACTCTCATCGGTCCCTCCTCCCGCCTGCCCACGAGCACCCTTTCTTAAACCCAGCTGAACCCTAGAGGCTTCTCACCTTCCCGTCCTGCCTGTTTCCAACCCACGCTGCCCATTCATCTTCCCAGCTCACTTCATTCCAAATTTCTCAATGGCTCCCTACTGCCGAGAGAATAAGAGTGGAAAGCCTTCTCCTTAACATCCCAGGCTTCCAAAATCTGATCTAATTCCTAATTCAGCCTTTCCACCCTGAGCTTCTACCACCACCACCATCAGCCATTGGCTCCTCTTAACCCCATCACCCACAGGTGTCCTGGGCACACCTTTGCTCTCGCCTGTGTGTGATTACAGCCACCCCTTTTCCTTTTTCGTGCTCTCCAGGGTTCAAAGTCCAGGGAAACTCCTATCTCTACAGAGTGTCTGCCCTGCCCACTTCCCACCTCTTGCCTGTAATGTTAAGAAAACTAGTTCAACTACCCAAAAACACAGTCATACAATAGGCTGAATTCCATCAAAACACACCCGTGACAGTGCTTCACTGTCAAACATTCCACCTAAGGTTTTCCTTTGTATGTTAAACTGGTATTCCTTTGTATGTTAAAATGGTATTCGCCAAGGCTATTTTAAGATGTCGAGCCTGATTTTCCAAACTGCAAAACGAGAAACCCCAGTTTCATTCCCCTGAGTGTGAGCTCCAGTTCCTCTGTCACAAGAGGGACACGGGTCATCAAAACGCAGGTGTCTGCACCAGAGGAAGGAGGAGCAATGGTTACACACACCCCAGGGAAGTAAAACCTCCGCACGTTCTAAAGAGAACATCAGCCCTAACCAGTTTGCTCAGTGGATAGAGCATTGGCCTGCGAACTGAAAGGTCCCAGGTTCAATTCCAGTCAAAGGCACATGCCAGGGTTGTGGGCTTGATTCCCAGTGGGGGACTTGCAGGAGGCAGCCGATCCATGATTCTCTCTCATCCTGAATGTTTCTACCTCTCTCTCCTTCTCCCTTCCTTTCTGAAATCAATAAAAATATATTTAAAAAACAATAAATAAAGAGAAAACGAAGGCTTAAGAGAGGTGAAGTAACGTGCACGGCAAATAACCAGCTAAGCAAGGAGGCCCGACATCAAACTCTTCTCCAGAATAATGGATGAAGCCCCACTCGGTCAAGCTGCCCTAAAGCCAGGATGCTCAGGCCAACCAAAGGTTTAAATCTGTCGAACCCAGTGTGGCTCAGTGGATAGAGAGTTGGCCTGCACACTGAAGGGTCCCAGGTTCGATTCCGATCAAGGGCATGCACCTTGGTTACGGGCACATGCCCAGTAGGGGTTGGTGTGCAAAAGGCAGCTGATCAATGATTCTCTTTCATCAATGTTTCTCTCTCTCTCTTTCTCTCTGTAAAAAATCAATAAAATATATATTTTAAAAGAATCTGTCCCACAAGGTTTCCAAGGGAAGAAGGACAATGCAGCTCCTCGGGCTTTTTTCCTGGTTTATATTTAATGACTTCAATGGACTGGGCGACAACTAAGACTAAGATGCTCTCTCAAGGGCAGGAAGAGCTGCAGCGCACGCAGCTCCTGGGGGACCTGTAACCCCCATTGTGGGCCTGGCAATGCAGCTGGAATGCTGTCACAGGAAGGGCTACACACGACACACTGAAGTTCCGAACATGGAGGGACCCAGGAACATGGGTAAGTTGAGGAACGGCCTGGGAACTTATAGCATGTGCACAGGTACTACCTTCACAGATCAGCAGCTGCCAGGGGCAACCGAAAGCATGCACTGCAGATGGTTTTTAAAATGCATCCTTGCCCTAGTTGGTTTGGCTCAGTGGATAGAGCATCAGCCTGCAGACTAAAGAGTCCCAGGTTCGATTCCGGTCAAGGGCATGTACCTTGGTTGCAGGCACATCCCCAGTGGAGGTTGTGCAGGAGGCAGCTGATCGATGTTTCTCTCTCATCGATGTTTCTAACTCTATTCCTGTCTTTAAAAAAAAAAAAATCAATAATATATATATATATTTAAATAAAAATAAAATGCATCCTTCCCAACCCTTCCTACAACACGGCAACGGGAAGGGGGTACTGCACCCGTTTATTTTTTTTTTTTAAAGAATCAACTCCTGGGCCTGCAAGGTCTCTCCCAAATTCCCAAACCCGCGAGAACAAAGGGGTGAGCTGGCGGGGGCGGGGGAGTGTCCAGGGAATACCCAGAGGCGGCAAAGCGCCTCGGTTCCCCCCACGCCCCCGGGGTCCAGGAGCGAGCACCCCAGGACGTGGGCACTGGCTCTCGGGACACCCCGCATCCGACAAAGGATCCGACCCTGGAGATCCCCCCAAAAAAAACCGCCAGCCGGTCTCTCGAGGGCCACCGGGGAGGGCCACCCGCGCCCCCCTCTCCTCTGAAGCCCTGACCAGGCCCAGGTGCCCCGATCCGGGCAGGGCTGCGGCCCGGGCATCGCGGGGGCGAGCGGCAGCGGACAGGCCGGGCCCGGGCGCCCCGGGAGAGGCCCGCTCGGACCCGCGGCCCGGGCTCGCCACACGCACCCCGGTCCCGGCGGCCCGCACCCTCCTTCCCACGCACCTGCCCGGGTCCCCACCCACGGGGCCCATCCCCAGCCTCCGCCCGCCTCAGCCAAGGATACGAAGTACACGGAGAGGAAGATGAGCGCGCAGCAGTCGAGGAGAGAGAAGACGAACACCACCGCCTCCATCCTCCTCCTCCTCCTCCACAAGCCGCCGCCGCCGCCGGTCCTTCCTTAAACCGGTTCGGGTGCCCCGACCCGCCCCACCCCGCCCTGACTGGGGCGTGTAATCCATTCTGCCGGGCGCGCGGCATGCCGGGAGCTGTAGTACGTTTTTAAACCGCCTTGCTCCCGCTGCATGCTGGGAAGTGTAGTTCATTGGGGGCGAGCACCTGTCTAAGAGGTGGGCAAGGTCTCTGCTCTATGTCAAGGAATTAACCAAGGAGAATTTACTGAATGGTTGTCATCTTCTGGATACACAGTAGTATTTTTTGCCTTGTGAGAATTTTTCTTTTTTCTTTTTTTTTAAATATATGTTTTTCACATAATAGAGCGTCGGCACGCGGACTGAAGGGTCCCGGGTTCGATTCCAGTGAAGGGCATGTACCTTGGTTGTGGGCACATCCTCAGTGGGGAGCGTGCAGGAGGCAATTGATGGATGTTTCTCTCTCATCGATGTTTCTAGCTCTCTAACCCTCTCCCTTCCTCTCTGAAAAAAAAAATCAATAAAGTATATATTTTTTAAAATGATCATGCTGGCTCAAGAGGCAACCATCAGGACTGTCCTGAGTAAATGAGCACATAGGTCAACCTAAGACTAAAGCACACTTAGACAAGAGGCTGTTTGCAAAATTTTGCAGGGGCTGGGACTGGTGGAACCAAGGTATGAGGAAAGGAGGTGAAATATACCACCACCACCAGGTGGGGCTGCACCTTTAAAAAACGGAGGACATTTGCCCTGGCTGGTATGGCACAGTTGGTTGGAGCCTCCTTCCAGAAAGATGGCAGGTTCAATTCAATTCCCTAGGGTGTGCGGGAGGCAGCTGACGGATGTTTCTCTCTCTCATCAATGTTTCTCTCTCTCCCTCTTTTGAATCATTTAAAAAAAAAAAAAGAATAGAGGCCATTTAATCACTGTAGTAAGTTCTTACTAGTAAGATGTACATGCACTCAGGCTACTCCTCAATATCTTTTTGGTTTAAATATACGGTATTGTAAATTCTGAATACTGAAATTAATGTAAAATTGTCTTCAAGGCAATAAATAGTGGAAATAATTCCAATGGTAAGAATATTTAAATATACCAATATTACTATCTAGTATTAACTTACTTTCAATTATTGCCTACTGCACCTGAGCCAATCAAAGGTGAAAACACACTCCTTGCCCTGAAGGTACTATTCTAGCCCAACCGTGTGGCTCAGTGGTTGAGCATGGGCCCATGAACCAGGAGGTCACAGTTGGATTCCATGTCGAGGGTACATGCCAAGGTTGCAAACTCAATTCCCAGTGTGGGGCAGGCAGGAGGTCCATGGATGAGTCTCTCTCATCACTGATGTTTCTCTCTCTCCCTCTTCCTTCAGTTCTGAAATAAATAAAAATACACACACATAAATGTATTTTAAATATATATACACACACTATATATATATGTTTGTATGTATATATGTATGTATACATATATATACACATACACACATATATATACATATAATAGGTGTCATTCCAGAGCACTTCAGGTCTATCTATATGGGCTACATAATTTGCAGGGGCAAATACATATCTATAATAATAAAAACGTAATATCCTAATTAGATATTTAGATGTGCAGGAGGCAGCTGACAGATGTTTCTCTCTCATCAATGCTTTAACTCTCTCTCCCTCTCCCTTCCTCTCTGTAAAAAAAAAAAAATCAATAAAAAAAATTTTTTTTAATGGCATAAGTTAAGTTACTAGAAAAGCAAGCCATAGGGTGGCGGTGGGTTTTTATCTTTTTTTTTTTCCTGTCGTCCCAAATGTCTGCAAAGCTTCCGGTTTTGTCCAGATTCTAGGCCAAGATTAACTTTGCACCCGAATAGAGGTGTGGCTGGTACTGTTGGGGTAAAATAAATAAAAACAAGTTTACCAACAGGCGCCGAAGGTAGAGCCTGACTGGACCCTCCTCCGCGTGTGTTTGTTCGCACCGCTGGGAACAATAAAGTTGATCTTGTTCAAAGGGGTCCTTGTCATCCAGGGACTGTCGCCGGAGCCTGCACAATAAGGCTCCTAGAAACTCCCTGATGGTTTTCCAAGCCTGCCAGTTCTTCTCAGCTGGTTTTTCCCTCGCCTGCGGGACACACATCCCTTGGGGAGCCGCGCGCGCCAGGCCCCCACGGGGCTCATTTCGGACGCAGCTGGTCCGGCGATTGCTGCGGACAGCCCCGAGGAAGGACCCCCCCCGGATCACGTGACGCAGCGTCCCGGCGGTGGCGGCGGAGACAGAGGGATGAAGCCCAGGCCAGCAGGTTTCGTGGATAATAAGCTGAAGCAGCGAGTCATCCAGGTGGGCCTCATACAGGGGTCCGCGCCCTCTGCCCACGGCGCCTTCCAGGGTGGCTCCCACGTCGGGATGGACGAGCCACCCGCCCCGGGGGGGCTGGAGGCAGCTCCGCTCCGCCGCCCGCGGTGCAGAGCCTGCGCTCCCGCCGGGGTTTCTAGGACCCGCCGGGGTGGAAGGGCGGGTCCCAGGTTTGATTCCGGTCAAGGGCATGTACCTTGGTTGCAGGCACGTCCCCAGTAGGGGGTGTGCAGGAGGCAGCTGATGGATGATTCTCCCTCATAGAGGTTTCTAATTCTCTGTCCCTCTGTCTTCCTCCCTGTAAAAAATCGATAAAATATTTTTAAAATATATATATACTTAATAAATAAATAAAATTTCTGAGTTTGAAATAGTGAGTGTTTATATTTATCCTATTTTCTGTTTTAGTACCTCACCAGTAACAGATGTGGCAAATACGTGGACCCTGGAATCATGGCATCTGACTTACAAAGGATGTACAGGTAAAGAAATAGAGTCTGCAGGTCCTTGCTTTTCTTTCCTTTTGTAACATTGTTGTTTGTTGTTTCTCTCCTATCATTTTTAAACTTTCCACCCTCCTGCCTAAATTTCCCGTTGATATTAATAACTGCTGACATTCGTTCTCCAGTCCTTAAGTTCAGAATTCAACTTACGTTACTAGTATACATTTACCAATCACGTATTATAGGCAAAGAGCTATCTTTGTTACTAGGGGTAATGGCTACATCTTATCTTTCAGTACCTTATTGTCTGGTCATTAAAAAAAATTAAGCCATCAGGCAATTGATCTCCCTCAGCTTCCTGACTGTCAGAAATGTGTCACTCAGCCCGGACGGCTACAGGGGAGTTTAGTTTTGCAGATGGCTGTGTTCTCCTATGTCTTTACATGCTCTTTCTTCTGTATATAAGTGTCTATCCTACTCTCCTCCTCTTACAAAGACACCAGTCCCATTGGATTAAGTTCCATCCATGTGACCTCATTTTATCTGAGTTACATATTTGAAGGTCCTGGTTCCAAATACAGTCACGTTCTGAGATACTCGGGGTTGGAACTTCATCTTATGCATTTTGAGGGACACAACTCAGTTCACGACACTCTGCCTCTTGCCTTCGCAAGCTTAATCCTTCTCGTTTACAAGTAAAAGAGCAGGAACCCCAGAAATCTTAACCCATTTGGTTCTCAATTCTAACTCCAAAATCACATCTAAATCTCATCTAACTCAGGTATGGTGTGACTGGAGCTATAATTCATTCCTCCCCAGCTGTGAACCGGAAAATTAGACAAGTGGCCCTCGCTGGTATGGTTCAGTTGGTTGAGCATCTTCCCATGCACCTAGAGGTCACTGGTTCGATTCCCCGACAGGGAACATCCTGAGTTGCAGGCTCAATCCGCTGTAGAAAGTGTGCAGGAGGCAGCCAACTGATGGTTCTCTCTCATTGATAATTCTCTCTCCCTCTCCCTTCCTCTTTCAGAAATCAGTAAAAACATTTTTTTAAAATATTTTTTTAATATATTTTATTGATTTTTACAGAGAGGAAAAGAGAGGGATAGAGAGTTAGAAACATCTGTGAGAGAGAAACATCGACCAGCTGCCTCCTGCACACCCCCCACTGGGGATGTGCCCGCAACCAAGGTACATGCCCTTGATTGGAATCGAACCTTTCATTTCGCAGGTCGACATTCTATCCACTGAGCCAAACCAGTTTCGGCAGTAAAAACATATTTTTAAAAAGACAAAATACAGTAGTGGACAGGTATAGGATAGACATTTTCATTCCAAAACGGAGAAATTAGAAAGAAGAAAGGGGTTATGGTGTCAAACCAGTCTGAAATGGAGTAGCATGAATTCCACTAGGCTTCAATCTTGTGGCTCAAGGCCCTGTCCTGTGGGCTTGTCTGTGCTCATGGGGTCCATGTTGGCAGTGGCAGCTCTGCCAGCCTCTGAGCCTCCTGGGGAGTCCTCCCCCCCCCCTTTTTTTTTAAAGGAGGATACATGGTCCCAGTTGCTTAGCTCTTTTGGCCTGTTCTGTAGAATATCAAGAAAAATTATAGTTGTAAAAGTGTAAGAACTCCAAAGTTGTTTGAAAATAGGTTTATGGTCAGTGTAAATACAATGGGACGATTATATATTCATGCAAACTTATGTGGGGGAGACTCCGGTACTAAACTTCTGTTCTCTTTTTCAGCCTAGACTATGGCCGAAGAAAAAGGAATGCTTTTAGGATTCAGGTAGAAAAAGGTGAGTCTGTTCGTGTTACAAATGAATCATTAATACAATTACAGAATGGTTTTAGCTCATGGCCTCTTTTTGTTTCAGTATTTAGCATCATTACCAGTGAGAAGGAACTTAAGAATGTAACAGAATTAGAAGATGAACATCTGGCAAAAAGAGCAAGACAAGGTGAAGAGGATAATGAGTAAGGATTTGGGGGCCGAGGGTTTTTTTCTATCTAGCACGTGAATCTGATCACGTTCTGTTTCTACCCGTCAGACTTTGAGCGGCTCTTCATTGCCAGGAGGTGTTGTAGTATAACACTACCTCTGTGTGTTTTCTTGTTTTAATTCGTATTTCTTTAGGATGTAAGAGAAAAGCCTTTACAATTTTTCCCCCCTTTTCACTCAGGTATACTGAAAGCTATTCAGATGATGATTCAGATATAGAAGATTACCCAGATCCACAGGTAACATTTAATGGACATACTTAGATTCTTTTAAAAATCACGATCAACCTCCTTAGAGAAAAATCCAGTGAGAAATACAATGACAGACTTTGTACATCTTCATAGAAACAATTAAATACTTCCTGTGTACAGTGTTAGTGAACTCTGGGGTAAACTGTTGTGCCCATATTTGTTCCGATAGCCTGTTATAAAAACAGGGGAAACGAAGGGAAGAGAAAGGCCATATACAGGGCAGACATGTACAGAAAGGGGAATTCATAGCAAAAATGGAAAGGATACATTTTCTACCAGAGTTAACGTTACCAACAAATAGACTTGGATTAAAGGGAAGCATGGGAATAATATGTAAAATTACTTGTAACTTACTCTTTTTTCCCCATTGTTACTTCAGTTTTTTAATTTATTAATAACCATGATGATACACAGATATATGTTATCTAATTTTTAATTGATGGGATAGTAGTGACTCATTGACTGCCTACCAGCTCATTTTCCTACTTGCTTCTGTAATATTTTTTAGAATTCTTATTTAGTTTTATTTAACTGCCAATTATGAATTGGTACATTAACTTGGAGTGGCAAGGAGATACACCTTTTTGGGTAGCAAATATTTGTGTTGAAATCATCTCATTGCACACACCTATTTTTCTGACTATAAATGTTATGAGAGAAGTTGTTGGAAGCATAAAGTAGAAAACGTGTTGATATAGGCTGTTAGACCTTCATGAGTACTTACTGAGTAACTTACGCTAAAATCATGTTTCTCCCAGTTGGCAAATCACATGAACTCTTCCCTGCTCTCCTTATATCGGAAAGGAAACCCGGATTCTGTTGCAAATACTCCCGAGGGGGAGCAAAGAGAAACCAGCGGTTCAGCACCATTTGTAGCGTCCAAAACCAGCTCCATTCCGTCGAAGACCCCAGCCAGGGGCTCTGAAGGAGGCTGGTTCATTGACAGAACACCAGGTGGGAAGAAAGACAGTTTTTTCTTGGACCTATCAGAGGAGACTAATAATAAGAAGCCATCATCTGAAATAGAGGTATTTTTATAGTGATGTTTTAGCAACTGTGCCCATTGGGTCCATGGCTCTGAGCCTCCTGGGGAGTCCTCTTAGCATCTCTAAGAGGTTTCCAAGAACCAAGCCTTTGGGTTTGCCAAAAATCTCGTTGAATTAGTAATGGATCTTCTCCAAATCCCTTTGCTTGAATCACCCAGGGTTCCAAAGAGCCGTCTCTCCTGGAGAGGGATAAGAAAAGGAAAGGCAGGTTAAAGAGCAAAGGAAGCAAAAGGAAGAAAGAAGATCTCCAGGAAGTGGACGGAGAGATAGAAGCTGTCCTGCAAAAAAAAGGTGCGGTGCAGGCCTGCGGGCCATGCTCGCTTTGAGGGAGGCATCACCCTCCCAGGCTGACCTGCCTGGGGACCTTCCATGTGCAGAGACACTTAGTAGAAAAGGTGTCAGTAGCTAATGGGTCTTTGTATGCTTAATTATTAAATATAATTCTGAGTTGCTACTGAATCACTAATCTTTTCCCTTCCTCCTTTTTCGTTTGCCAGCTAAAGCCCGGGGGCTAGACTTCCAGACCTCCAGCGTGAAGTTTGAAGATGTTGGAGGCAATGATGAGACACTAAAGGTTATTCAGATTCAGAATTTTGCTCCCAGTGGGTATTGCTGATCAGTTATGCAAATCAAGTCCCCGTCTTTTGTTTCTCATAGGAACCGGGGGTAGGAAAGGAGACTGGGAAGGGGAGAAGAGCACACTTTAACTTGTACCCTGTAGGGTATTGAGGGATAGAAGCAGCATAATAGCTTCAGCTTTGTCACCACTTTCATTGTAGTGTGCATTAGCCACATGCTTTATCATTTATAAGTGCTGGTATTTAAGAGTAGTCATAATAATGGTTCCTGCTTATTTTTAGTGTCGGCTCTATTCCAGTTCCCTGCTAGTTATTCCTCAATTCACCTGCAAGGTAGACGTTAGGAAATGGAAGCTGAGCGATGTTACCACTGAGGTCATACAGTGGGTACCGGAGCTGGAAGTCAAGCTCAGGTCTAAATCCAAAGCATACACTGGCTCCTATATCTTGCTGCTCCCAAGAATAGAACGTTTCATTCCGTGTTGATTCTCGCTCCCTTGGCCTGGGAAAGACCTCTGTGCTGTTTCTTCCCTGCTAGGAAGTCTGCAAGATGCTCATCCACATGCGTCACCCGGAGGTGTACCAGCACCTGGGCGTCACGCCCCCGCGGGGAGTTCTCCTCCACGGGCCGCCAGGCTGCGGGAAGACGTTACTGGCACACGCGATCGCGGGGGTGAGGTTTGCTGGCACTTGGTTGCTTTTGTTATTGGTCGTTTGTTTTTACTCTTTGATTAACTTGAACCAGACTTGGCATAGTCTCAAGAGGACTGATTGCTCCTCCCCTATTGTACCTCTTTCACGCTGCTGTTCACGAGATGCTATTTTTTAAATCTTTTTGTCGTTATTTTTTTTTTTAACTTTTATTCCTTTATTGATTAAGGTATTACTTATGTGTCCTTATCGCCCCATTGCCTCCCCTATAATGGCATCTTTAAAATTATCTTGTCAATGTGTCCGAATTAAATCATAGATTTTTTAAATAAAGTTTTCTATCGGATCAATACAAAAAGATATTTCTCAGGAAATTCGTCATTGTAAAAATGTAATTACGAGAGAGGCACTGACTACGGACAAAGTAGGGAAGTGAAAATTTAAAAATGTGTTCATTCCTTTATACATTTGTGCACAGGAACTTGACCTTCCGATTCTCAAAGTAGCTGCTACAGAGATTGTGTCGGGAGTGTCCGGAGAGTCCGAACAGAAGCTGAGAGAACTGTTTGATCAAGCGCTGGTGAGTTAGTTCATGAGTAATGGCAGATTGTACATTGTATAAGGTTATAGTGAAGATCCTGTTTCCTCAGATATTACTGTTACCCATTCGCTGGCCATGCTTTTGTAAACATGGTAGTTTTTGCTACCCATGATGGCAGAATATTTACACTTGATCTTAGCCAAAAGGCTGAGAAATGATGATGGCTAATACTTAAAGTAGATTCACTGATAACGGACCATTGGATAAAATAATCTGTTGAATCCGAAATCGAAGATAAATTGGTGAGATGTTCTGTGCTACATGCCCAGTAGCATATGCTAAAAAGAGATTGTCTTTGTGATAATTTCTTTCGCTTTCACTTTTCACAATGTAGGATTGCCAAACACCTTTTAAGCCAATGTGAAAAAAATTAGCATTAAAATTATCTTATAATAAAAGCAACCATAGTATTGCCAGCATAAACTCTTCTGTGTTTGCATAATTGAAGCTGTGAAAAGATAGTTCTGTAGGAGAGAAATTACAGCTTGGACTTTATCCTGGTTGGAATTCATGTCATTAAATTTGTACGCTTAAGAACTTCTGAGAAAGATGACATGTGAGTCCACTTAAAGTTTTCGCGTCCATACAGTGTCCTCGTTAATTGTCTGAACTTTCGAGTCTGAAGCATAAGTTCATTCCTTGTGCCACCCTTTAGTAACTGTGGAATCTCAGACAAGATATTTAACTATTCTAACCTTTAGCTTCCTTGCTAGTAAACTAGGTTAATTGTCCTACTCAAGTCTCCTGGGGTTGTTGAAAGCACTGAAGGAGAGGATTCTCCTAAAAACCTTTCACGTGGTGTCTGAGATCTTTGGTCTCAAGGATGCCTCATGCAACGCTCATGTGTCCAGTAGTCTAAGTGCCTCTCTGCGAGGTACTACACAATTGTCATCAGCGGGGCTGGGAGGAGAACCAGCTAGTGAGGGGCCAAATCTCTTTCCTTTTAAGTTGCGTGGTTTTGAGTCTTAGCCAGGCTCAGAGTCTGACTCAACATAATGTCACTCCTCGCCATTGAGTAACTCAAAATGAGCTGTGTTTTAGCTTGTGTATATAGGTATTTTTATCTAACGTTTTTATTTTAACTGATTCCTATCCATTTGTCTCTGTTTTTATTGGGTAAATATGTTTACCTTACCATTTTAAGCATTTTGGAGGGTACAGTTCTGTGGCATTAAGTACACTCATGTTGCTCTGTAACCATCACCCTCCTCCATCTTCAGGAGTTTTCATCTTTCCTACTGAAGCTCTACCCATTAAACCCTCTAACTCCCCATCTCCCATCCTTCCAGCACCTACAACTGCCTCTCTACTTCTGTCTCTACCAGTTTGACTACTCCAGTTGCTTATATTGTATCCTAACTTTTTCTACTTTAACTCTTATTTAGTGTATATATTTATTTATATATTTTTAAACATTTTATTGATTTTTTACAGAGAGGAAGAGTGATAGAGAGTTAGAAGCATCAATGAGAGAGAAACATCAATTGGCTGCCTCTTGCACACTCCCCACTGGGGATGTGCTCGCAACCAAGGTACATGCCCTTGACCAGAATCGAACCCGGGACCTTTCAGTCTGCAGGCCGATGCTCTATCCACTGAGCCAAACCGGTTTCAGCTAGCGTATATTTTTTAAAAGTCGAAAGATGCTCATTCTCCACACAGCTGCCTGGGAACATGGCCACCTTCCTGAGTCCAGGTACCTTCCAAGGCAGCCGCTTAAGTTCTGGAGATGGTTGGATGGTTGCACAGGGTGGGAACATATCCAGTGCCATTAAACTGTGCCCTTAAAATGCTTACAATAGTAATTTTATGGATATTTTACTACATAAAAATAAATTAAAAATAAAGCCTCTAGTCTTCCTAAATATTACTGATAGTAGATTCTAGGACAAAGCTTAGATATTTTTACATCTATAGGAATACATATAACATTTGTAGTAAGCCTAGATTTTCTTATTTAAAGTTAAAATTTATATATTATAGAATAGCAAATATGCCTAATTTACAAAAGAATTGTGTCCATTTATCATCACAAAACGGATTGATGGGAGACTTGAAATTTGTTCTCTTACATGGAGTCTCGTTTAAGCATCTTGTTTCTCTTAAGTCAGATAAGACATACACTGTGACTGCCTTCTTTAGGGTTATTGTTTTGGTGAGTGATACTTGAATGTGAAAATTTGTAAAACTATAGTTAATGGCCGAAACCAGTTTGACTCAATGGCTAGAACGTTGGCCAGCGGACTGAAAGGTCCCAGGTTCGATTTTGGTCAAGGGCATGTACCTTGGTTGCGGGCACATCCCCGTTAGGGGGTGTGCAAGAGGCAGCTGATCGATGTTTCTCTCTCATCGATGTTTCTAACTCTCTATCCCTCTCCCTTCCTCTCTGTAAAAAAAAATCAATAAAATATATATTTTTTAAAAACTATAGTTAATGATGCTGCAGAACAGCAAGTACATTTATGGTTGTCTTTTGTGATATTCTCATTTCTAGGCAAATGCTCCCTGTATCCTTTTCATCGATGAAATTGATGCCATTACCCCCAAGAGAGAAGTTGCTTCAAAAGATATGGAACGAAGAATTGTAGCCCAGCTCCTAACCTGCATGGATGGTCAGTTTAAAGTAATGAACCCGCTTTGGGAGAATAAGTTGCCTTTGTTTTTAATAGTTTTATTCTATTTGAATGTTTTATATCCTCACATATTACAATAGTTATATCCTCACCTGTTTTTAAATATATATTTTATTGATTTTTTACAGAGAGGAAGGGAGAGAGATAGAGAGCAAGAAACGTCGATGAGAGAGAAACATCGACCAGCTGCCTCTTGCACACCCCCCACCGGGGATGTGTCTGCAACCAACGTACATGCCCTTGACCGGAATCGAACCTGGAACCTTTCAGTCCACAGACCAATGCTCTACTGCTGAGCCAAACCGGTTTCGGCCTCACCTGTTTTTAATAGCTGATGTTATTTTGTGTTTCTCAACAGATTGTGAGCTGCTTGAGGACCATGTGTGTTTATCTTCCTCACGAGTCAGGCTTTTAGGAAATGTTAGTTTTACACATGTTTATTGCTGTTAAAATGTGTAATACTTTCTAACCACTTAAATGACTTGTGTAAGCATTATTGTCCTCATTGGCAAGTGTCTTGTTCACCAGTCATCCTGTGTCTGCTTCTTCCTAGATCTGAATAATGTGGCTGCTACAGCTCAGGTCCTAGTCATTGGAGCTACTAACCGGCCGGACTCGTTGGACCCGGCTTTGAGACGGGCAGGAAGGTTCGACCAGGAGATATGCCTTGGTATCCCCGATGAGGCATCCAGGGAAAGGTATGCCGGAGGGAATGAAGCTTGGGTGCCTCTGGGTCATCTGAACTGAAATTGAGGGGTGAGAAGCACGTCGCCTGTCTTCCTCCTTTTCTCTCTCTCTCTCTCTCTCTGTCTCTCTCTATCTCTCTCTCTCTCTAGTTAAATTGATTTGGAAAGAGAAGCCCACATTAAATGAATGCTTTAGATAAATAATTTGCTCATCAATAGGGTAATTGTTTCAGACTTATGATGGACTTACACACCTATACTCACTTGTCCATTATTAACAATGGTTTGCAGTTTTACTTTGCCTAAGACCAGAGGTTCTGGGAAAAATAATTAAGTGGCTGCCAGAGAGTTGAAACCTGGGTTTTGCTATAGCACCAGCCTTTCCTAGTCGTTGGTGTTGAATGCCAGCAGAGCAAAGACATGGCGACCGAATAACTAAAAATATCTCAGGAGGCTCTCTTTAGGAGTAGAAATCTAGTAAAGAAGTATTTTGAAATACTGTATTTCAAATAAATATATTCAGTGACCTTTTTTACTAGCAGGTTAGGATTCTGACTTTTCCCTCTGTCTTTTCTACAGAATACTTCAAACGCTGTGCAGAAAGCTAAGACTTCCTGAAACGTTCCATCTGCGTCACTTAGCGCACCTCACGCCAGGCTTCGTGGGCGCAGACCTGATGGCACTCTGCCGCGAGGCAGCCATGTGTGCCGTCAGCAGGGTCTTAATGCAGCTGCAGGAAGCACAGAAGCAGGAGCCTGAGGCGGAAGGCTTCCCATCTGAAGGAGGCCAGGGAGAAATGATGGAGGCTGAGCCCACGTCCACAGCACAGGTGCTCTCTAGACAGGTACCTGAACTGGCCTCCCGATGTTCCTCATTTGTCTTTTCCTTACAAGCAAGTGTCGTTGTAGTTGAGGTTTATGATTTTCTGTTGTATTGGCATTTTATCTTTAGAACAACTGTAAGTTATGCTCAGAATGTCTATCATTTCAAAATTACAAGTTGGTGGTGGTGGTTTTTTTATTTATCCTGGATAAATTCATTTTACAATAATGATTATGAAATTCTGGAGCAGGGGCTGGCCAACTATGGGCCTTCCGCCTGCCAGCTGTTTTTGTCAATGAAAGTGGTATTGGAACACAGCTGTGGTCATTTATTTGCATATTGTCTATTTCTGCTTTCACCTCTCACAGCAGACTCTACACAGGAGTCCTACAGCAGAGACGCATGGCCCACAAAGCTCAGCATTTGCTTGCTAGCTCTTTATGGCAGTGTGCTGACTCCTTAGAGCAGTGGGCACTAAGTTCTGTTTCCTGGTTACCTTTGGTTAGGCGGACTAGGGACGTGGTGACACCACCATACTCTTACTTCTCTCTGCAGGTGGTTCTGGATGGCAGTCCTGTGCATGTGAGAGGGACATTGATCACTCTACATCACTGTTAAAATTTTGAGTGTTGTAAATCACGAAACCTCAAAATAACATTTTTACAGCATTTGAAGGTTTGCACAGGGGGTGTCTACGTATTATATAATTTAATCCATGTAACTGCCAAGTGAATGTCATTAATTTCCTCATTTTATCATCAAGAGAAACGAGGGTTAAGAGATTGTGACTTACCCAAGGCCCTACTCCTCCTGCTTTCCAGAGCAGGAACTTAGATCTAGCTCTTTGGTTTTCAAATTATTTTTTTTTCTTACTCATTTGGAACCGCAATTTTATCTGTTAAAAATAAAACTGAATCCCTTTTATAATGTTGCATATAAGTTAGGATTTTATAAATTGAATGATTCAGAGTTACTCTTTATTCTTGTCCTTTCATATTCTTCACAAGGCAAGAAATCTTACTGCCATCAGAGTAACTTTGTTTTAATTTCACCAAAATTCGGCCGCTCTTAAATATTTATAAATGAAAAGTGGAAATAACATAGTTATTGAAATGAATCTATGCCAACTGCTTATGTTTGCTATAGCTAGCCATAGTATAGGATGCAAAAACCATTCTTCTGTATTTGAGTATACTTGGTGTTCCTTTCCTTGCCCAGTTATCTGTTCAGAATAAAACTAACTTCTTATGTCAGTGGAGATGATTATTAAAACGCTTAGAAGTTTACCATAGCTTACAGAAATACTGCAGAAACAATTTTTAAAAGGACAAAAAGGAATGTTTCAACAAACTTGGTGATTTTTCTTTTCTCAATTGCTCCCGTTAAGGATGAATTGCAAAGTCTGCTGAGGTTGCTAAGAAACCAGGATCCCCTCTCAGAGGAGCAGCTGCAGGGACTGTGCATTGAGTTGAATGACTTCATTGTGGCTCTGTCCTCCGTGCAGCCCTCTGCCAAAAGGGAAGGCTTTGTCACTGTCCCGAACGTGACGTGGGCAGATATCGGTGCCCTGGACGACATCAGAGAGGAGCTCACCATGGCAATACTGGTAGGTGTGCCTGGAGCCAAATGCCGTTGGCACGTGCGATGGATAAATGGCCATACGTGTGTACTAGGCTGTATATGTTCTGTGGTAATAACATTAAGCCCCCAACAATGGTTTTTAATTTTCTTTTTTTTTTATTATTTTTTTATTTTTTACAGTGAGGAAGGGAGAGAGATAAAGAGCTAGAAACATCAATGAGAGAGAAACATCAAAATCGACCAGCTGCCTCTTGCACACCCCCCACCGGGGATGTGCCCGCAACCAAGGTACATGCCCTTGACCGGAATCGAACCTGGGACCTTTCAGTCCGCAGACTGACGCTTTACCGCTGAGCCAAACCAGTTTTGGCGGTTTTTAATTTTCTGATACCTTTTTTAGACTTACTCTTATGGTCATGCATGAATTCTGTGAGAGTAAGTAAAAATGGAAGTTTAGGTTTTCAACCAAGACCAAATTATTAGAGAAAGACTTTCTGAACTTAGTCAATCTTATGAGGGTCCAAGCAGTTTAATGCCCATGAAACTTGGGATTTTTACTTACTCTTACTTTTTCACGCTATTGATCACTTCGGGGTTCATTAACGAAATGGGATCTTTGCAGAGATGTGTAGCTATTGAGAGGAAATGCATGGAGATGGCAGCGAACAGGTGTCTCTGGCTTTTGCTCTGCCGCTCTGGTTTCTTAAAGGAGGACATTGCCTACTGTTTTCATGACCTGGCAATTTAGATGATTTTTTTTAGAACATTTAAATTTTTTAAAACATTTTCAGAACTTAAATTTTGCCCTAACTGGTTTGGCTCAGTGGATAGAGCCCGGGTTGTTGGCTCGATCCTCAGTAAGAGGCATGCAAATAAGGAATTAAAGACAAGTGTAAGATCCCCATTTGAAATTGGCCCCAGGCACTGTTCGTTTCTTGTGATCAGTGCTGAAAACGGGCCTCTGAGAGCGTGGACACGCAGTGTAAAAGGACGCTAGTAACGGGTCGCTGGGATTCTACTTCCAGGCGCCAGTACGTAACCCAGATCAGTTCCGAGCTCTCGGATTGGTGACTCCGGCCGGAGTCCTCCTTGCTGGTCCTCCCGGCTGTGGGAAAACACTGCTGGCGAAGGTATGGCATAAGTTCCACTTTTGTATTTCATTTCTTATTAGCAGTAGGGTAAGATGAATATCACTCTGAATATTACACTGAGATATTTTTGTATCATTTCTATTAGAAGTGCATTTAAAATAAGTGGTAGTTTTCTTCAGAAAAGTTTTCCACTTTATTTGCGTAAATTTTTTAAAACTTATTTTTGTTTATATTACTAAATTTCCTTTCTTAACGCTTCTAGTACTTTTACAAGACATTGCTGTAAATTAGTTTGAGAACAAAGGAAGGGGGGAAAGCATCACAGTCTTGGTCTGCACCTTTGTACAGTTGTGTTAGGAAGACGTGGCCAGAAAGAAGGCTATTCACGCTAAAATGTGAATTCTCCAGGTGGATGCCATCCCTTGCTTGGGCGCCTTATAATGTTTGGTTTTACTTATTTTTTTAAATACATCTCTTATTGATTTTTCACAGAGAGGAAAGGAGAGGGCTAGAGTTAGAAACATCGATGAGAGAGAAACATCGACTAGCTGCCTCCTGCACACCCCCTATCGGGGATGTGCCTGCAACCAATGTATATGCCCTTGACCAGAATCGAACCTGGGACCCTGCAGTCCGCAGGCTGACGCTCTATCCACTGAGCCACACCTGTTTCGGCCAATGTTTGGTTTTAACCTTGCCTGCCAGTGAGTGCAAGATTCGTGATGCTGCCCATGAAAAATTTAATATGTCCACGATACTTCATTTGGAAACCAAAGACCATTTTTTATTATTGAAGGAGCTATTGGGGGTTTTGATGTTTAGATGTTGGGTACCTGGCATTGAGATGTGGAAACCTAAAGTGAATGAGTCAGACTTCGTTAGGTGTGTATCCTGACTCTCCCCTACTTAATGAGTGAGCGGTGAGAAGCTTTCAAATGGGCAGCAGGAAAGACAAAGATTGAGAGAGAGGATAATCATCTTCATGTTGAGCAATTTTTGGTGGCGGAGCAGGCATGCCTTCGTGGTTCAGCAGGTACTTATTGAGCTACTTGCTTTGCCAGAAATTGTTCCAGGTCCAAGGGATCAGCTAGTGAACCTGTGCTAATAGAACGTATTGTCTGTTTGGAAGGCGCAGGCAGTAAACAAAAACAGTAAGATTACAGAGTTAGCTAAGTTCTAAAGGAAATAAACAATGTTATGATTGATTGGGAGATGGCTATTGTAGGTATGGTGTTCAAGGGATGGTGATTATTTTTTTTTTTTTTTATTGATTTCAGAGAGGAAGAGAGGGAAATAGAAACATTAACGATGAGAGAGAATCATTGATCTGCTGCCTCCTGCACACCCCCCACTGGGAATCGAGCCCACAACCCAGGCATGTGCCCTTGACCAGAATCAACCCGGGACCCTTCAGTCCACAGGCCAACACTATCCACTGAGCCAAACCAGCTAGGGCAAGCAAGGGATGGTGATATTTAAAAGTCCTAAAGAGCTCTAACTGGTTTGGCTCAGTGGATAGAGCATCAGCCTGGGGACTTTTTCCTATAATTCTCCTCTCCTTCTTATTGGAAAGAGGCGACCATAAAAGTGGGAAAATAGAGTATAAGCTAAAAGAAACTCCCACGTTATCACAATGATTGTTGTTATTCTATTGTATGTTTGTCTTATTTGTATCTCTTTGTTTTCTTTGACTAGGCTGTTGCAAATGAGTCTGGACTAAATTTTATATCTGTCAAGGGCCCAGAATTACTAAATATGGTAAGTTGTGGCATTAGTCATTGTTTAGATAAGGAATGAAATGGTCTTTCATATTTCAGGGTAGAGTGTTTTCAGACTTTTTAAAACAGTTGTCAAATTTTGGTGAAATCTGTAGGAATGAAGAAATGGAACCTTACTCTGCTGTACTTAGTATATGTGCTTTCTTAATTAAGTCTAGTAACTTCTGAGCCTCAGTTTTCTCACCTGCAAAATGGAAATAATTGTAATAATTAACATTTTAAAGTGTTTAATCTGTACCATGAATTTGTAAAGCACTTGACGTACATTATTATTCTTCAACAAGCCTGTGAGAGACAAATTATTGTTTCCCCTGACTCACAGATGAGGAAAGTTAAGTTTAGGGGGTGGAGGAGGAAAAAGGGGGGATAAGTAGTGAGAGAAGGAGACTTGACTAGGGGTAGTCAGCACACAATACAATATACAGATGATGTACTGTAGAATTGTGTACCTGACACCTATATAATTTTATTAACCGTGTCACCCCCAATATATTCAAGTAAAAACAACAAACAAGTTTGGGAGTTTTGTTTGCCTCTTCTGATGATTTATGACAAAATAGCTCCTCCTTTAGCAAGATGATGTACAAATGACAGTAGAGCAGTGAATTGTCTTGTTTGCATTTAATATACTGTTTGAATTCATGAGAATTATTCCTGGGTATTTTACATGCATAAAGCTTAAGAGGTCACTTCTAAAATAGAATAGTGAGCGTTTGTTTTTTTTTATGCTATCGCTTTTTTTTATATAATATATTATATTTATTGATTTTTTTACAGAAAGGAAGGGAGAGTGATAAAGAGATAGAAACATCGATGGGAGAAACATCAACCAGCTGCCTCCTGCACACACACTACCGGGGATGTGCCTGCAACCAATGTACATGCCCTTGACAGGAATCAAACCTGGAACCCTTCAGTCTGCAGGCCGACACTCTATCCACTGAGCCACACCAGTTTCGGCGAGGGTTGTTTTTTCTTGTTTGTTTGTTTTAACTTAGAGAAGACCTTACAATGCCTTTAGTCTTCATTTTATAAATGAGGAAATTTATAAGCTTAAATAATAGCTCATTTTATTAAATTGAACCACATACAACTGGCTATTCTTATAGGTCAGAAATAGGCAAAATACCAGTAATTGCATATGGCTCAACCTAAACTTTTTTGGACTCTGACATACAAATGTCCTTTAAAACTGGTGTAACTGTAATTTGGCTTGAACCCCGAAGTTGAACTTTCTCTGCACTGTGTCTCCCATCTGTGTGTTCAGTACGTCGGTGAAAGCGAGCGTGCTGTGAGGCAGGTTTTCCAGCGGGCCAAGAACTCAGCGCCCTGCGTCATCTTCTTCGACGAAGTGGATGCCTTGTGCCCTCGAAGATCAGACCGAGAGGTAGCCGTCATGGAGGGGCTTTTCCACATTTCTGTCTTAGCACCACAAACCTTTTTATTTATTTAAATATTAATATATTTCATTTATTTTTTACAGAGAAGAAAGGAGAGGGATAGAGGGATAGAAACATCGATGAGAGGGAAACATTAATCGGCCTCCTCCTGCGCACCTCCTACTGGGGATGTGCCCGAAACCAAGGTTCCTTCCCCTGACCGGAATCGAGCCTGGGACCTTTCTGTCTGCAGGCCGACGCTCTGTCCACTGAGCCAAACCGGTTACAGCTCCACAGACCTTTTTAAACAAGTTTTTATAAAATTCAAGAAGTTCTTATAAAGTCATTCCTCGGGAACGTTGAGACTCTTTGTGAAGTATCGATAGCCTAGTAATTTGAAATCAGGACTGAGGGATAACAGTTGCATTTTTATTAACCTCTGTATCCTTTTTATCCTTTTTTAGTATATTAGTTTGGTTACACATATTAGATTCACACAAATGAGTAGCTAGGACTGGAAATGATACTGATTTTGAATAATCTGCCTTGTAATCTTAAGATTCTCCAGTTAAAAGTTCTTAAGGCAGGAGAAAATATAATTTAAGACACGCACTCACAAAGGGCCAGGTAATGTGCACTGACTGAGCACCATTACACTCTGGGGAAGATAAACCTTGGTCTGCATTGACTGCCACTTGCTTACTACACTGAGTCATAGTTCTTAGAAATTTCAGTACAGAGTGTGCCCAGAAACAGCTGTTAGCAGGAAGATTGTTACATAAGAGTTGGAAGCATAGAGAGCATATGTTTTTTATGGTTTATTTTGCATAATTCTGTATATGTTCTCGTAGATAGTCAAACATTTATTCCGTGCCTCGTGTCACTCAAGAATCCCTAGAAACATTAAACAGTTGAAAAAACAAAACTTGACTAATATAAATGTGATCATCAATGGCATCACAACATCTCCTTAGCCCAGTCTCGTCCCATAGTGACGACAGTGGCCAGGGCAAAGGTCCTTCCGGTTTCCCTGCCAGCTGTCAGATCCTAAAGTCTAGTGTGGAATCCAGAGGCAAACACTACACTTCTGTCTGCTGATTGGGGCATGGTATGCTCTGCATTCTACTTGTTTGCCACAAACTCTTTATTGTTTGACAGCCCCTTTCACTGATTTTCAGCTCTGTGTTATCAGCTACTAATTTTTAACAATGTATTTTTATTGATTTCAGAGGGAGAGGGAGAGAGACAGAAACATCAATGTTGAGAGAGCATCATTGATTTGCTGTGAGATATATTTTTTTTTTTTTTCAAAAGTTTTGCTGGGAAAACCATGAATGAAAACATGTTTTGTACAGTGCTTGTACAGTAACTAGTCAAGTAATGATCATTGTCTTCTCTTGACAAAAACATTCACTCAAGCTCTAACTGGTTTGGCTCAGTGGATAGAGCGTCAGCCTGCAGACTGAAACATCCCAGGTTTGATTCTGGTCAGAGGCATGTACCTTGGTTGTGGGCACATCCCCAGTAGGGGGTGTGCAGGAGGCAGCTGATTGATGTTTCTCTCTCACTGATATTTCTATCTCTATCCCTCTCCCTTCATCTCTTTAAAAAAAATCAATAAAATATTTTTTTAAACATCACAAAAATTTCCATTCAAATGAGCGAGGATATTATTTTGCATGAAAATAAAATTGGCGATGGATTTTTCTTTTTATTGGGGGCTGATGGAAATACGCTTGTTTCTTTTTAGACGGGGGCAAGTGTGCGAGTGGTGAATCAACTCCTTACAGAGATGGATGGTCTGGAAACACGTCAGCAGGTTTTCATCATGGCAGCCACCAACAGGCCAGGTAAGACAGCATACAAAGCTGATGAGTCTGAAGACGCAGCATTCAAAAATAATACCGGCCGAAACCAGTTTGGCTCAGTGGATAAGAGCGTCAGCCTGGGGACTGAAAGGTCAAGGACATGTACCTTGGTTGTGGGCACATCCCCAGTAGGGGGTGTACAAGAGGCAGCTGATGGATGTTTCTCTCTCATTGATATTTCTAACTAACTATCCCTCTCTCTTCCTCTCTGTAAAAAATCAATAAAATCTATTTTTTTTTTTAAAATACCATTTACAGACATCCTTGTCAAGGAATAACTAAGAGGGTTCATTAGTTGAAAAAAAACCTTAGAAAGCTTTTATGTAAGCTACAGAAAAAGCATAGTATTGCCTGGATTTCATGAGTTTTTGTTTTGTTTTCTGTGTTACTCAGAAAGTTCTCTTGTTGGCAGAGAACATGTGTCACATACACTTTTTTTTTTTTTTTTTGGTGTAGCATACACTTTTGACCATGAAACAGGAATCTGAATTTCTGTCCTATGCTTTCTCTCAAGCTGATAGCAAACAGCAATGAGACTCTTCCTTATATCTGAAGGTTGAAGATAGGATTTTAAGATTTTATACTGGAACCATATCCCTGTGTTTAACTATTATTTAAAATTGTTTACAAGCATTAGCACTCAATAAAGAATTTAGAAAAAGACTCAGAACCTCAAAAGTGCTCGAGGTGGCTTTTACTCTGGGTCCTAAGTTTTCTTCACATTGTTTAATTCCTTGCCATCCCTATGAGCCACTGAGTCATAACAGCCCTTACATCGATGTTTGTGTTAACTTTGACAGCAGTGATAGAGAAATTTAATTCCTTCAATGGACTTTTTATCAGTTGTCAAGCTGATAATAATTTTTCATTTCATCTAAGTTACCATGGAAACTCAAAGCCATGAATTATATGCCATTTTATTATAAAATGAAAAGTTGAAAGTCGTTATGGTTTATACTTCGACTCTTGTAATAATGAAATGCTCTCTTTGGAATCAGACAGAACAAGGTTCGAGTCCTGGCCGTAGCACTTCATATCTTAGGAACTGCTCTGTTTCAACCCAGACTGGCCTAACACCAGAGAAGCAAATGACAAGTCAGTTCTGACTAACCACCCGGAGTTAGTGTCAGGTCCTGCAAGTCCAAGAGTCAGCCCTCTCCAAGCCTGCCCCCTCCTCGGATGCCAGCCACAGTGGCATCTCCGGAGCACCCACACTTCTGACCAGCCTGCTACAAATTTGATAATTCCCATGATCCTCCTCGAGTTGAGTAATTCACCAGAAAACGAATAGAATTCAGGAAAGCACTGTATTTAAATTACAGTTGATTGTAAGGGATTCCCACGCATACAGGTAGGTCTTGGAGAGCATAAAGCGTTTCAATGCCCTCCTCCATGGAGTCAGGGTCCATCATCCTCCGAGTGCATCAGTGTATTCATGACCTGGGCAGCTCCCTTGAGCTTCGATGCAGTGCTTTTATGAGGGCTGTATAAAGTAGCCATTGATTGAATCATTGGCCATTAGATTGAAGTCAGTCTTCAGCTGCCCCTTCCCTCCCCAGAGGTATTGGTCCAAGGTCCAGCCCTCTGATGACTTGATGGGTCTTTCTGGTAACTCCCCATCCTGGGGTTATCTTGGGGCTAGCCCAGTCGTCTCATTAGCATAACATTAGCATTTCCTAACTCGGGAAATTCCAAGGGTTTTTGAAGGTGTATGCCAAGAACCAGGGGCGAAGATCAAATTATCTTTTATTGTACCACACTAATCTTGTGTATCTATTACTTCATCTTGCTAACCATCATTTCTTCATCTCCGAAGTGCAGATAATAATGCCTAATTGTCAGGTGAAGTGATATTAGCAATCTGCCACAATGTGTGGCAAGTAGCTATTTAGTAATTATTCCCATTGTCGCCAGCACTTATGGTAATAGCAGTAGGAACAGTCATAAACTCCCAGCCTTCCTAGGAGAAAGCTTGACAGTCCCTCAGATTTGGACAGAATCACCTCCTACATTTCCGAAGTAGATACACCGCTTTGCAGATTTCAAGTAGAGAGGCTTTGGTCTGCTGTCTAGCATAACCGAGGCGAGAACAGATTCGGCCTTTTTTGGAGAACAGCATGAGGGCCAGTGTGTCCGGCGTGGATTGAGTGATGGAGAGGTGCTTGGGCCTTTTCTGTCATAATAAGGGGCGGGGATTTGAGCCTGCCGTGATGAGAAGGCTCAGGAGGGTTTCAAGCAGGTTTCAACATAGTTTATTCCGTGTGACTCAGTTCCTGTTAATTGACTAACTCCTTAAGAGAATGGCCATCACAAGTCTTCGTGGTTCAGATCCAATTAGTGAATGGCATGAAAAAGATAAACCCACTCGGGAAAATCAAACAACCCTGCAAAGCCTGTAGCAAAAACTGTCTCTGTCCGCCCTTTCCGATCCCCTCCCAGAGGCATCTACCTGTGAACTCCTTGAGCTGCTTCTTCTGTATTTTCTCCATATTTTCAAACAATATGTTCAAATGGTTCTTTCTTATCAATTTTACACACTGCCCATTAGCTTCTTTTTAAGGTAGATGAAGATCAGTATCTTGTGTTCACTCTTTCTCTATCCCCTCACCCTCACCCCCATACCTCTGTTCTCTTCACTCTGTCCCCCCAATATTTTAATACTAGAGACCCGGTGCATGAAATTTATGCACAGGTAGGGTCCCTAGGCCTGGCCAGTGATCAGGGCTGATGGGGGCCTTCCGGCTGCCAGCCAGGGCCTTCCTTCATTCCATGCCACCCCCTGGTGGTCAGCACAGGTCATAGCAAATGATCGGTCTCCCGGTCAAACTCCCAAGGGTACATTTTGCACATTAGCCATATATATATATATATATATATATATATATATATATATATATATGGTAGTTTAATGACAACTTTGGTTAAATCACTAGTCAGTGTTTACACTACTAATAACTGTAAATATTTCTCCCTGCTCCCCAAGAATAATTCTATGATTGGGTTTCCTTTTTTTAATTTGACCTTGTAATTCTTAAATTTAATGACCCTAATATTTTCCTTTTGCTTTCTTTCTCTGTTCCTATTCTTCATCCGATGAGTTCCTTTGATTGTTTCTAGAGCCTTCCCTCTGGAGCCTTCCACCCTCCTGCTCCGTATGGCCTGGCCCCCCTTAAGGCCGGGTTATTTCAGGACTCACCTTTCCTGTGCCCTTATTTCTGATCTTATCTCTCCCCTGGTTTACTCTTGTTCTGCTACAGCTTATTTTTCACTGGCTTTTCTAAGATAGGTCATGTAGGAGGTAACTTGTTTGACTTCTTGTATATTTGAAATTATCTTTATTTTCTGTCCTCATTATTGGTTGGCAGCCTTACAGCGTATAGAATTTGAATTGAAACTTTTTCCCCATAATTTGTAAGTATTGCTTTTTTCTTCTTCTTCTTTCTTTAAAGGTCTATGCCATTCTGGTCCTTTTTATGTGACTTTTTGTTCATTTGTTTTATGTATGTGCTTAGTACTCGGTGGATCTTAAACCTCCTGAACTGGTCTTCTACATTTCTTCTTTTCTCCTATTTCTAGCTCGGTATTTTTCTTCCTAGTTTTTGAGGTACTGATTTGTACAAAGTAAATGGAAAGACTGTCTTCTCCCCTTTCTCCCTCTGGTTGCTCTTTGGTGTAGCTCAGTGAGTGGTTGAGGGTTGACCATGAACCAAAAGGTCAGGGTTCTATTCCCACTTAGGCCACATGCTGGGGCTGTAGGCTTGATCCCCAGTGTGAGGCATGCGGAAGCAGCCAATCAGTGATTCTCTCTCATCATTGTGTTTCTGTCTCTCTTATCCTCCCTTCCTCTCTCTCTCTAAAATCAATTTTTAAAAAGTTGCTATAATACTCTGGTTTCTCTTCAGATCGTATAAATCTTTCGCCTTTTAAAAAGTTGCTATAATTATGTATTTGTCAGATGAAAGTATGGATGAATTACAAAGAAAAGGTTTATTTCATTATTTAGCCACTTAAGTTCCAGGTGAAATGTAGTGTCTCTTCACCTATCTAATCTGAATGGCCTTCGATCATGGTTGAATGTTCCTTAAGGCAGTGACCAATGACTAGATGCCATAGCCAACCCCGTATATCTGACCTTTGGCACAGTGCTGCCCTTAAAATTAACCTAGCCCTGGCATCACCTCTGCTGACTTATGGGTACCCTGGTGCATAGCTCACTCAGTAACTATTTGTTTAATGAATCATGGTTCATAGAGATATACTTCTGTTTCATGAAGGCTGTCTGATCTTGTAATAATTTTCACTGACACAGTGAAAGTCTCAGTCTGATGCTGTAATTTTTGTCAAAATCAGCTTTTGAGGCATATGCGGTATTCCATAGATTTTGTCCATTTTAAGTATACGATTCAGTGGTTTTGAGTATACTTACAGAGTTGTGCAATCTAACTTTAGAACATTTCCATCACCCTAGAAAGAAATCCGTGTCAGTTAGTAGCCACTCCCCGTCCTTCCCCACCGTAAGGGTCCCAGAGGGGAAGGTAGCCTCACGGAGGACATTGCCTTTGGCCTTGACTGAGGGGTGAGGTCATGGGAAGCAGACTTGATAGCATGTGTCTCCCACTGGAGGGAATGAGAAACCTGCCTAATATTTGGGGAGCCGGCAGGGGTCGTTATCCGAGACGGAGGATCCGGGAGGAGAGCAGGTTTGGACAGGAAGGTGTGAAGGGCTTTTCCCTCCTCCTCCTTCTCCTCCTCCTCCTCCTTCTTTTCCTCCTCCTCCTCTTCCTTCTTCTTTTAATATATATTTTATTGAATTTTTTTACAGAGAGGAAGGGAGAGGGATAGAGATTTAGAAACATCAATGAGAGAGAATCATCCATCAGCTGCCTCCTGCACACCCCCCACTGGGGATGTGCTCACAACCAAGGTCCATGCTCTTGACCGGAATTGAACCTGGGACCCTTCAGTCCGCAGGCTGACACTCTAGCCACTGAGCCAAACCGGTTTCGGTGGCTTTTTCCTTCTTAAGAGCCTCTTTTGTTAAGGAGAAACTTTCATTTTCATGACGTTTAATCAGCTTTTTCTTTTAAAAAATAGACCCTCCCCATCTCTCATGTTAATTACATGTTTTTTAAAGACCATGTTCTCTGTATGTAAGACTATGTCTCCCTCCTTAGATATCATTGACCCTGCGATCCTGCGCCCGGGACGCCTAGACAAAACTCTCTTCGTGGGCTTGCCGCCCCCCGCAGATCGGCTCGCCATCTTACAAACCATCACCAAGGTGGGTAGAGGAGACGGCATATCTTTGGGTCTGTTTCTCTCATTTTAAATACAGACAAGTGTAGCAATTTGGGATGCACAATCGCCTTCTGCTCTACAGCTTTAAATATTTGCCCCGCCTCTGTCTCCCAAATCTGCCTTTCATTCCCCTATAAATGTCATGAACACTTTCCTTATCCCAGAAAGCCAGAAAGGTTATTTGATGTCTACCAGATGCTTTGCGATAATACAGTCTTTGAAATAGTGATAAAATTCCCACTTAAACTGACGGTTTAACCATCTTTAAGTGTTTGTTCCTTGGCCTTTCCTATTCACGTTGTTGTTCAGCCCTCACTACTGCTCATCTCCAAACTCAGATGGTCTAATTCCTGGTCCAGTGTTGTTTCCATTTTTTGACCTCTTTATTAAAATGTAATATAGGCACAAAAAACGTGGACATACCATTCCATGTCCAACTCCATGAGCTTTCATAAACAAACTACACTTCCCCCCACTCTGGAGTTAATTGACTAAATTGAAAACATTTTACATTCAAGAGAACCTTAGGGGTCATGCCGTCTGGCCATTTAGTTTTATATACACAGCGGGGGACTGGGAGGGGAGAAAAAGCAAAACCCTAGCCTGTTTGGTTCAGATTCAGTGGTTAGAGCGGACTCAGGTCCGATTCAGGTCAAGGGCATGTACCTTGGTTGCGGGCTCCATCCCCAGCTCAGGTTGGGGAGTGTGTGGGAGGCAGCCAATCGATGTTTTCCTCTCTCTTACATCGATGTTTTCCTCTCACACTCTCTCCTCCTCCTCTCTTCCACTCTCTCTCAAAGTCAATGGAAAAATATCCTCAGGTAAGGATGACCCCCCCCCTCACTCCCCTCCCTCCCCCCCCCCCCCAAAAAAAAAAGCACAAGGGCTGTTTGCCTAAGGTCACCCGAAGAGTACTTTTGCCATGACTATTTCCCGGGTCCAAGAGGGTTGAATGATAAACAAGTGTTTCCTGAACCTGTTCGATGAACATTAGTGTTTTATTAAATAATAGCAGCTAGCAGATGGTCAGTTCAGGAGATTGGTAAATGCGCCCAGCGGGGAGGAAGGCGGCGGGACGGTCTGAGTGCGGGCCCAGAGGCAGATGATGGATTGCAGGAGGTGCTGGAACCGAACCACATCCTGCTTAGAGCAACGCCATGCTAATATTTACACTTGCCTGGAAGCTTAACGGCAAATATTCACTTTCTCTGTGTATCTTTCTTCTTAAGCTATTCATTTTCTAATGTAATAATGCTACAAGGGCCACAGGCAATGTATATGTAAGAATCAGAACAAGAAAGCAAATACTCAGGAACCTTTCATTTAGGTCATACATTTTAAATCACTAAAAACTGTTCTGTTTGCCTCTGAAAGGTACTAGAAATGTTATTGAACGGTATGCATGCACCGTACTGTGTCAGTGCTGCTGGAATTCTGAGACTGTTGTGATTCTTGTCCTTTCTAGCATTTCTTGGTATGAGCCAAAGGAGAATTGGCACCAAAGCCAGGGTTGAGGTCAGGTAAAGGGCTGAGAAAGAACACATTGAGCAGAGGGCTTTTGGCTGTTTTCTGTAGAGCAGTTTCCTGCCGTATACTTTCTCCCTTCCTGGCCAGCCAGAAACCACGCACATACGCACATCAAGACCAAGCACTGCTTACGATCTTGCCACATTTAATCAGCAAAGGAAATGGCTTTCCTCACCTTTGGGAAGATGGACCTGGTGATTCTGTTCTTGGTGATGTTTTGTTTCTGTTGCAACTCCAGACAGATTCTTCAAACTTCATAAGCATGAGCTGCCTTTAGCTTGCCCAGGTTTGGTAGCCTGCTTCTCAACCTCATTTCTCAAAATGGAAATTTGTAAGAATCTTGTAACACTGCTGTGGGAGACCGTTATATTCATTTAGTCACGTAGCCAGTGCTCTTTTTAGAGAACCTTTCATGTGGAAAAAGTATCGGTCATTGAACCCTCAATGAAAAGTTTTTTCTCTTTTATTCAGAATGGCACCAAACCCCCACTGGACACCGATGTCAGTCTGGAAGCGATTGCTGGGGACCATCGCTGTGATTGCTATTCGTAAGGATCTCAGTCCCAAGTTCGGTCGCTCTCCGAGGCTCGGTTCCTCGGGTGTCACGTGAGGGAGAAGGGCGATGCGGGGAGGGTTAAGTCAGGTGTCATGTGGAGCCCTTGGTGTGGGGTCTGGCCCTTTGCTGCCCTCTCCTTCTTAGAGGAGGAATTCCGGAAGTAGGGTGTCCTCTCAGGTGTTGACTTTTGTAACTCAGCTGCCCTGACCACCAGGCTGCCCTTCACAAACCATCTGTCTGTCAACCGATTGCCAAATTATCGAGGTGCTTCAAGCATTTCGAAGAGAATAAGCAACAGCTCAGAACTTACTTCGCAGCACATACACCAGGAGCATCCACACAGCCCGTAGTAAACGCGGGAAATGAAACATTTCTGCCTTCGGCACTCATGTTTGCTAATGGTTGTAGTTTTTGGTCTGTTTTATTTCCCCCGTATGTTTTTAAGGAAATGGTTACTTTCCTGTTTGAGTATACAGGAAGAAATGAAACAAGCTTATCCGGGGAAGTTGTCTCTGGCCTATTTGCAAGGCTCTGTTGCCTGTCCACATTATACTTAGGGTTCATGATGTCCCTGTAGGTCAAGGCCAGATAATGTGGAGGGAGGCGGGTTTTCATCGTTGAGGACTCCAGGAGTCTGTCATTCAGCAGCATAAACTTACAGCCACTGGAGTAAGTTTAGTCCCAGTTGAAGAAGGTCCCATTACCATCTCTTATCAATATGACGTCACTCGGAGCCATGCTGATCATTTTTAGAGAGTGTGATCAGAGACAACCTTTTATCTCCAATTTTTAAATAAATGGGCATCTAGGCTCTGAGTGTCAGTCTTTGTTCTGACACTCCCATGCCCCTGAGAGATGCGCTCTGGTCAGTAACCTTGGCTCATTTAAGATTGTCTCAACGAGCCCAGCATGTATGTGATCACTAGCTAATGTTTTAATCCTCACACTTTACAGTGAAACATTGGATTCAGTTAGTAACTTAAACTCTGTGGCTCTTTCGTTTTATATGTTACGTGGGCCATCAACATTGTACATGAAAGTAGGTTAATGTCTGAAAATAAGGTTTTTGTCCCAAACTCAAGCCCTTTCTCAAGATCGCCAAGACCTGGTCAAGATGTTAATATAGTGAGACAGCAATCAGCACCATTGTCTTCTGTTGAACTCAGGTGGACTCAGCCTATTATTACGTGGAATCATTAAATGAAGGCTTGTTAGTTCTTGTCATGTTTTAAGTAACTTATGAGTCCACCTAGCTTGAGCTTGAATCAAATACATCAAAAGCTCAGAGCCTTTGTATTTTCCCCTTTTGAACATGGAGCCATAAATGCCTTTTATATATAAGCTTGTTGCAGACAGGAGGTAATCTAGGAATGGGCTGCCTCCAGCACTTACACAGGCCATGGGAACAGAGATTTACAATCAACGATGTGTCTGTTTCTTTCCACTGATGATGATCTAAGCTTTTTCTTTTTCTTTTTAGTATATTTTTATTGATTTCAGAGAGGGGGCCGAAACCGGTTTGGCTCAGTGGATAGAGCGTCGGTCTGAGAACCGAAAGGTTCCAGGTTCGATTCCGGTCAAGGGCATGTACGTTGGTTGTGGGCAGTGTGGGGTGTGCAAGAGGCAGCTGGTCGATGTTTCTCTTTCATCGATGTTTCTAGCTCTCTCTCTCTCTTCCTCTCTGTAAAAAATAAATAAAATATATTAATAAATGATTTCAGAGAGGGGGAGAGAGGAACATCAGTGATGAGAGAGAATCATGATTGGCTGCCTCCTGCACAACCCCCTGCTGAGCATGCGCCCAGACTGGGAATCAAACCGTGACCTGGTTCAACCACTACCACGCCAGTCGGGCTATGTTCTAAGCTTTTTATATTAACGTGGGTGTCTGTAGCTGTTACCAGGGGACTATTTATGATTCATTGCGTTGTTTCCTCCACCATTTCCTTTCTTCTGAAAGTTAGAAATATTTTAAGTGAAAGCTAAAACTCTTTCCTACCAGCTGTAATTAGTTTAGCCCACATTGATGGGTCAGTTTCTTTCCTGACTGTTTAATATACGACTTAAAAGAAAATGGCTCTCAGGCTTCTTTCTGGCCTAAACAGTATGTAATTATAAATAAGTAAGGCGACGTCTTTTATTCCAGGGGTGCAGATCTCTCTGCTTTGGTACGGGAAGCTTCCGTCTGTGCCCTGAGACAGGAAATGGCAAGACAGAAGAGTGGAAATGAAAAAGGTACGGTTCTCCCCGGAGGCTCTCAGTTCTACTTCGTTATCGTTCTGGACAAGCAGAACCGCTGTTGATCTGGAATGTGGTCACTTCCTAGTGTCTCTCATCTGTGATATTAAAACTGGTGCTTCTGTCTGATAAGACCTTTAAAAACCTTTCAGAATATGGTGTAAACTTTAGAAAATATTAATATTAAGTAGAAAACATATACGCCCGAGAAATGAAAACTGAAGTAACTTACCCTATACTTAGACTCTCCTTTCACAAGACAAAATCAGTCCGTGTTGTTACGTGATGATTTGGGGCCATCTCAACAGCTTGACACTCTTCTTCACACTTGACAGTGTCTTCATATTGAATATTGTTCTGAGTAGACTAGCCCCATTGTCATCACTGCTGTCCTCACCGTTCCCCCAGAATGGGTGGAAGTCTCGAGAGAAGATAAGTTATAAACCACCACCAGCATACTGTGCCTGATGTGTTTGTTCGTGCTTTTGCTTCGCAGGTGAACTCAAGGTTAGTCAGAAGCACTTTGAAGAAGCTTTCAAGAAAGTGAAATCATCTATATCAAAAAAGGTAAGAAATGTGCCCTAGCTGGTTTTGCTCAATGGACAGAGCGTCAGCCTGTGGACTGAAGGGTCCCAGGTTCAATTCTGGGTTGTGGGCTCGGTCCCCATAGGGGGCGTACAGGAGGCAGCCAATCAATGATTCTCTCTCATCATTGATGTTTCTATCTCTCTCTCCTTCTTCCATCTCTCTAAAACCAATAAAAATATATTTTTAAAAAATAAAAGGTAAGAAATATTCTTAAATGTAGAGAGAAAAGAGACTAGAATTTGGACCGGTAGCTAGGACCTCATGGAAATAAACTGATTGCCTGTGTGCGTGGCCTTTAGAGAGAGGTCAGTTTGTTGTTCCACTTATGCAGCATTGGTTGATTCTCCTTATATGTGCCCTGACCGGAGATTGAACCTTCAACCTTGGAGTATCAGGATGACGCTCCAACCCAGCTACCCAGGCTGACTTAGAGTTTCCATCAGTCATCATAATGAGAAGCACAGCAATCTGCTCATATAACTGTTTGGACTTTGACTTAGGTTTTTCAATCAATAATCATAATGAGAAACACTGAGCCTGGGTGATAACGATTTAAGGGTAGTTGTGGTGGAGTCCATGAGCAGGTCCTCGTGGCTAAGGTACATTCCAGCTCTGGGAATCCGGAAACAAAAGGCATCCACTGAACACAACGGATCCCGACAGCATGGCACCCAGACCTTCCCCAGGGCCGGGCATTGCCCTGCCAGCTCTCTGTGTGTGTCATCGCTGCCAGGCTTCACTGCATAACACCCACTTTAACTTACTACAAACAACACCTCAGCCAAGCAAGACACACCATGTAAAACCTGGCGTTTTATGTCAGAAAAAGCCAGAGTGATTTTTTAACCTTTTTCTGACATGGTGAAGATGTTCCTACTTTCCTGCAACTTTGGGTAAGTCCCTAGCGTTTTGTTTGAATAGTCTAGCCCCAAGAAGGTAAGACTGTTGAGGGTGTAGCTGGCATTAGGCTACATCATCCTCTATTTTCTCTGCTCGGCGGAGCCAGGCCCTGGCGTCCAGCGTGTGTCACTTCCCAGACCAGCAGAGCGTAACTCGCTCTGCAGGCCTGTTGTTGTTTTTCAGTCTTAACGGCTCACCCGTGGCCCGGGGCAGGGCTAACTGTTAATAAATGCTGAGACCTTGAGATTATTTTCCACCTATTTATTACCTCAAATTACAGTCTTTCCGCCTACTGTGGCCTTGTCCCATTGTAGGCCTTGTCCCATTGTCAGAGAGCCGGTCTCACTTAAGCATAAATTACACCTTTCTTCTGTCCTCCTCTATAAAAGCAACGTCATAGAAACCCTGTTTTTTTGTTTTGTTTGTTTGTTTTTAGAAACCGTTCTGTTTTGTTATCTCATTGATGTAGTGGTTTTCACACCCACTGGCCAGAGCACTTTGATTCTTTACTTCACACTCAGGATAATGTGGGTCATCTATTTGCCTGATTATTTCACTCACATTGACATTTATGAGAGGAAAAACCTCCCCTTACACCTAGTGTATTAGTGGATTGCCTAAGTTCTCATTCTTCCATCTGTACATAAACATGTAATCATGTACCTACTGAACTTTAGGCCAGACACCGTGCTGGACTTACAAGATGTAAAATCACATAGACATAGTTCCTAATCTTTATGGGCAATTAGGAGTTGTATGGTGAGCATTTCCATACATGTGTACATAAATACCTGCTAACCTGGTCACTCTGCTCATTAATGTTACGTTGCCAGTAGCTTTTGCTAATTAGAAGGTATTGACTACATGGCAGATTCAGCCCAGTGCATTCTATTAAAAGCATATCTGAACCTATAATTCCAGACATTGGAGATGTCTTTTTACCCCTTTAGGAAGGATGCATGTATGTCTTAGTGATGCTGCTTGATTCTAGTGTATTTGCACGTATATGCAGAGGACAGTCTAAAAGGATATATTGATGGAGGGCTGGGTAGAAGAGCCTATTTCCCCTTTATAACTATTTAATACATATTTTAAAATATGTTTCGACTTTTAAGGGAGAGAGGAAGAGAAAGAAATAACAATGCGATAGACAAGTACTCATCAGCTGACTCCTGCCCACTCCCTAATGGGGATTGAGCCCAAAACCCAGGCATGTGCCCTGCCTGGGGATCAAAATAGCGAACTCTCAGTACAGACGACACTCCACCCACTGAGCCCACCAACCACGTCTATGTCTTAATCTCCTTGTAACGATGCCAGTCCTGGTGGGAGTGGAGCCTGGTGGGAGTAACGACTTTCCTTTCACTTCACTGCCTCTTTAAAGACCCTGTCTCCTAGTAAGGTCACTCGGAAGTCCTGGGACTCAGCTTATCAGTTCTGGGGGCCACAGTTCATCCGGAGGAACAGTGATCAGCTCTGTGCTCTGTCTTCTTCCCCCTCCCCCCCAGGACCAGCTGATGTACGAGGCTCTGAAGCAGTCCCTTGGCCAGTGAGCCCAGTGTGGCCGGCGGAGTCCAGCGCACCGGCCTGGTTAGAAGCCCACCCTCCAAGCAGGCGCTTGCAGCTGGGCAGACGTGGCCGCATGTAAGCTTTGATTCCCAAACTCACGAGGCCAAGTCGGAGCTGAAGATTTCTCCCCACCTGGTCAGCCTTGTTTGGAAACAGCCTACCTCCCCTTTTAAAAAAAAAATGAAACTGCCAAAATAAATAACTGGTACTTTTTTAATAAAAATTTTATATAGAAACTATCTCAGCTGTACTATAGAAAGGTTGCATTTACAGTAAAAACAAAACAAAACAAAAACTTTCTGCCTTTGAACCATCTGAACGGAAGTTGCCAACCTGATGACCTGTCACCCCCAAATACTTCCGTGTGTATTTCCCCTGCGTAACCACCATCGCAGCCGGGGAGTAGCTGGTCACTGCTCCATCTCCATCTCGCTCCACGGGGTCTCCAGTGCTCCCAGGAGCACCCTCCACAGTCAGAGGGTCCGGGTTACAATGAGCTGTGCTTCCTTAGAGGCTGGAGCCGCTCCTCTGTCTTGGCTTCTGGCACTTGCAGGTTAAAAGGCAGCTCCTCCATGGAATGTGCTCAGTGTGGGTTAGTCTGGGGTTCCCTCTCGGTGAGCCCCAAGTTGTGCACCTTTGGGAGGAATTTCACGAATCAACTATTGAGTCGCATCAAAGGCACGTGATTTCGAGTTGCCCCTTCTTGAGATTGTCCACTCCATCACCTGATTAAGGTGGCTTTGCCAAGCTTACTGTACTATAAGGTTGCCTTAAAAAAAAAAAAAAAACATTTTATTGATTTTTTTTTTTACGGAGAGGAATGGAGAGGGATAAAGAGTTAGAAACATCGATGAGAGAGAATCATCAATCAGCTACCTCCTGCACACCCCCTATTAAGAATGTGCCTGCAGCCAAGGTACATGCCCTTGACCGGAATTGAACCTGGGACCCTTCAGTTCCCAGGCCGACGCTCTATCCACTGAGCCAAACCGGCTAGGGCAGGTTGCTTTTTAAAAATATATATTTTTATTGATTTCAGAGAAGAAGGGAGAGGGAGAGAGATTGATGAGAATCATTGTCTTCTACACCCCTCCCTCTTCCCGCCCCCCCAATGGGGATTGAGCCCGCAACCAGGGCATGTGCCCCTGACTGGAATCGAACCCGGGTATGAAGAGAAGGGTGCAGCTCAGGAGGCAACACCCACCAAAAGGAAAAGCAGATGTGGGTCGAGACCTAGAGACAGATGACCACAAGTGTAGGGAGAGGGAAGACGCCCTGGGCTGATCCTTGGCGTGTTGGCGGGCAGTCTGGCTGCACTGGCAGGTAGTTCTGAGAGGAGGAGGGAGACGCTCAGCAGCGTCTGTTCCAGAGAACTGTTTCTTGGGTGTGGCGGGAAAAGGTCCACGTTATCTCCCAGCTGAGGACATCCCTTCAGCTCCCCTGCCGGTAACCAGTCATTTATTATTTAGAAATGTTTCTGACCTCCGTCCCTTCCATTGTTCTCACTGACCTAGTTGGAGCTGTCACCACCTTTCAGAAGGTGTCCTCGGCCTCCTAGCTCATCTTCGTTCCCAGCTCTTACCCACAAAAACACCCGGCTTCACATCCTTCAGCAGCCTCAACTCACTGGTTACACGTGGACTTGAAATCTGACATCAAGCTTTCTTTGGCACCTCTCCTACCCCCTCCCCGCAACTGGATTTATTGCCATTCCCATGAGCCTTTTCTCACACTGTTCCCACTACCAGGAGTGCCGCCTCCCCCAACACAGTGCCCACTTCTGGCTTGAAATGCCACACACACACACACACACACACACACACACACTTAATTTCAGAGAGGAAGGGAGAGGGAGAGATATAAACATCAATGATGAGGGAATCATTGATCAGCTGCCTCCTACAAGCCCCACCCACACTGGGGATTGAGCCCACATGTGCCCTTGACTGGAATCGAACCTGGGACCCTTCAGTCCGCAGGCTGGTGCTCTATCCACTGAGCCACGCCGGCTAGGGCCCAGGTGTCATTTCTTGACATGGGTGATCTTCACGGCACAGGACAGTATGATCTTAAGTCCTTGTAAAGCATCCCTAGCAGCTCCAGCCTGTCCATCATTTTCAAATTCAGCAAATGCAATATCCTGCCTCCCAGGTACCAAAGGCACTTCCTTGAAAGCAGGGAACTGATCGGACAACACGGATAGCATCACCTCACCATGTAGGAACAATGTCGGGTATGGAGGGTGACCTGGGACCTGAGGGTCCGGTGTTGCATTCCCAGGGTGCTCGCTGGTCGGGCTTCGTATTAGCAGTCTTTGCTGCCTGTTCCACTTTTGGCTGTTTTTCTTTTGTCAGCACAGTTCTTCCACGTTTTAGATGCTATATCAGAATCTTTCAATACCGCATTCGCATTGGAAGTCCGTGTAACGGTCTCAAGGCATGCGTGGATGAGCCGGTTTAGTATTTAGATGCCAAACATGGCAAAGGCTTGTCCCCTGGTCTTCGTGGTCTTTGAAGCCACTCTATCCCCACGCGGCCAAACCGAGAAAATAGGGCATCCAGGGATGGCTTCGATTTCTTTTAAGTTTTGCCATTCCTATTGCCACTATAAATCCTATGGTTTGGTCTGACAGCCAGCTTTTGGGTAAACGGTTCAGCTAGCCCGAGGCCAGTATGGTGTCCCGTAAGCACCAAACATTAGGGAGATCTGCTGGGGATTTGATGTTCCCACCCCAGCTATCTGCCAGAATGGGACGTCATGGCTCCCTGAAGAGGAACCAGCAGACCCTTGGAGGTGGGGCTTCCCCTCTAACCGGTGTGGCTCAGTGGATAGAGCGTCAGCCTGCAGACTCAAGGGTCCCAGGTTCGATTCCGGTCAAGGGCATGTACCTTGGTTGCAGGCACATCCCCAGGTGGGGGTGTGCAGGAGGCAGCTGATCGATGTTTCTCTCCCATCGATGTTTCTGGCTCTCTATCCCTCTCCCTTCCTCTCTGTAAAAAATCAATAAAATATATTAAAAAAGAACGTGGTCTACAGGAGCATTCTCTAGAACAAACGCTTCAAAAAGGAGATTATACATATTTATTACAACTGGCATTCTAATTACCTTCTTCTTTCGCACAGACAGGAAAACCTGCTCTCCCATGCTGCTGACCAGCTAGCCGTGAGCCGGTAAGTGGACAAGGGGTTCTTTTCTTCACACTCCAGGAAGTCCCACCGGCTTGAACTTCCTTGGAATTAAATATGACGGAAGGGCGCGTTTTGCAATGTCTGAACGCTGCAGAAGCGGGGAGATCCTGGGGGAGGGCAGTGCTGCGTGCGGCATGGAAGGAAACCTGTTTGGTAAGGAAGACGCCCTGCTGAAAAGGGGTCAGAGCTAATGGATTCTGCAGACACCTTTGGGCACCTCCTTCGTGTGGGCTTTTTTCCCCCCAATTATCCTTCTTGTTCTCCGCTCTCTAAGAAACTGAATGTGGAAGGAACGTTCAGATTCTCTCTTCCTTTATATATATATTTTATTAATTTTTTACAGAGAGGAAGAGAGAGGGATAGAGAGTTAGAAACATCAATGAGAGAGAATCATCGATCAGCTGCCTCCTGCACACCTCCTACTGGGGATGTGCCTGCAACCAAGGTACATGCCCTTGACCGGAATCGAACCTGGAACCCTTCAGTCTGCAGGCCAGCGCTCTATCCACTGAGCCACACCGGTTTCGGCTCTCTTCCTTTTTTGTATTGTTTGTAGGCCAGCATAGATTCGTTTATTAGAAATGAACTTATTGCCTGGCCAGCGCGGCTCGTTGGTTGAGCATCATTCCCAGTCAGGGCACACGCCCAGGTTGCAGGTTTGATCCCCGGTTGGGGCACATACAGAAGGCAATCGATCGATGTTTCTCTCGCTCTCTCACCCTCCCCCCTTCTTTTTCAGCATGTCCTCGGGTGAGAATTAAATAAACAAAAGTGAACTTACCAGTGCCCACTTGAACTTGACACCCTGCATGGCACAGGTTTGCAGCACCTGTGCTTCAGCATACTGTAGAATGTCAGGCTTTATCCTTATTTCCTGGTGGCATGGGATGGGGAGAAAGAGGAAGATGACCTTATTAACATGATCTTATTCATATATCAAATGGCCATACAGAATCTTCATTTTATATTTGAGGAAACTGACGCTCAGAGGGGTTAAGCAGCTTGTCCTTAGCCACAACAGCCAAGTGGCATCTGGGAGCTCAAACTCAAAGACTGAAGATAAGTCTCCCGGCTGCCTTTCTTAATTAGTGTTTTTATTTGTGATAAGAAACTTGACATAAGATCTATCCTCTTAGCTAATTTCTAACGGCCGCTGACCCTTGAACAACACGGGATTTGAACCGCACAGCTCCACTTATACGGGGGTTTGTTCAGTACTGCAAATACTGCAAATACTTCTGGTTTTTTGTGTGTTTTTTTTAATATATTTTATTGATTTTGTACAGAGAGGAAGGGAGAGAGATAGAAAGCTAGAAACATCGACGAGAGAGAGTCATTGATCAGCTGCCTCTTGCACACCCCCCACCGGGGATATGCCCGCAACCAAGGTACATGCCCTTGACCGGAATCGAACCCGGGTCCCTTCAGTCCCCAAGCCGACGCTCTATCCATTGAGCCAAACCGGTCTTGGCTCTTTCTGGTTTTTTAACATTTTCTTTTCTCTAGCTTACTTTACTGTAAGAATACAGTGTGTAGAAGTGGTGTGTGTGTGTGTGTGTGTGTGTGTGTGTGTGTGTGTGTGTGTGTGTGTTTGGATGAGCGGAGGAAAAGAGAAAACATCCCCATAAAAATAAAAAGAAGAATACAGTATATAATACATATAACAAATGTGTAAGTAGACTACTTATGTTATTGATAAGGCTTTCGGTCAACAGTAGGCGATTAGTAGTTATATTTTCAGAGAGTAAGAAGTTGTATGTGGATTTTCAGACCTCGTTGCTCAAGGTCACAGACT